TTAGTTTCATTATCTCCATTTTCTTTATTTTAGCATAACTGCAGTATGCTGTCAGCATGCCTTCAATGACCAACATCCGGCTGCGCAGTGAGTACCGGAATATCTTGTTGTTATTGTCCCTTGCAAACATGTAGCGTTTACTGATTTCATCTAATTTTCCATTCAGATGAAGTATTTGTTCACAAGCTCTCTGAAATCTAGCTAATTCAATATTATGTTGGTGATAAATTTCGCTCTTCATCTCCATGATCTGTTTGTAATTAGGATATTTTAGATTAATTTAATATTGCAAAGACACAATTAGAGACCAATTATTATTGGACTAATGAACAAACAAACATATTACTTACTTATATAATCGCATCTCATTTAGATTCAATTTACTCAATAATGACACCTAATCACTTACAAATTGAAGGTGTCAAACAAATCAAACAAATAGACACAGATGGAACATACATCACCAACTGTGAAATCTTAAAATGTAACGCACGCTGCAATATTTCACAGCTTTCTTACAGACATATCTGTTGTCCTTGAAACATGTGAAAAATTTTCATCAAAAATATTATTTTTCAGTCAATGATTTATCGTTTCATCTTTATCATTAAATTTCATAGAATCCTCTTGCTAAATCAATCTGATCAAGTGTTACAGTAAGTTGGTTTATCATATTTAATCTGGATATATAGTATATCTTCATGTGGTAATGCCATGTACATTGGGAGGTAATACGTACAGAGATGTGTTTTGTTCTGTCCCTTTGAATCGTTATAAATAGATTATAAGATCTCGGCAGAAATTAATTAATACACAACTATCTAGCTAAATTATCTTTATTTAGATTGGGCGTAATTAATAAGATAAAGTCATTTCGATTGATATTTGTTATTTGTTGGAAAATATTATTATGAATGATTTAAAATCATATTTTTCTGTCGTCCGCCACGTCTTGATAATGATTTAGTATGGAACAACTAACGAACGAACAAAAAGAGGTAGTCATAGGCGCTACCAAACTGTATTTCTCCATTTTGTGAGTTTTCATAACTAAAGTAGAAATGATACAAGTATTTTTAATTTTTTTCTAATCCAGTCTTTAATTCTTTGTTGAAGAATGTTTATGTAGTGATTCAGCGAATAAACAAGATTTTAAGGGTATAATTAAGGCTATCTTTTGAAATATTTGTTTAGAATTTACCAACGATTCGGTACTTTATGACCGATTCCCGAAAGAGTTGTAATGTAAAATGTCTCTGCATGTTATTTAACACAGAATAAAATAAACTGGAAAAAATATTATTCTGCTGTTTTAAGTTTAGCGATTATTTCGTGTATGTGACAATGAGGCAATTTTCTACAAGCATTTTAGAAGTTTTATATATTTTTTTAATTAAACAATAATTTTTGCAGCAGATAAGGGTATATATAATTTTATACACTTTTATGCATTATATATGTGAATATTTCTATCTTCATTGCAAATGCAAATTATCGAATGATTTTATCACGTTGTTCTTTCTATCCAGAATAAAAGAGATAACGATTTTCATGTATTCAGGCTAGCAATTCGTTCTTTTTGCAAAGCATTGAGTAAGTTATTAAAAATGAGTAATTGCTTACATGGGCTGTTTATTGCTTTCCCATCAATAACTGCATAAGTGCCAGGTAAAGTTTATGCACCCTGGTACGAAGTGAGGGCTTGAAAGACAACCCCTTTGCTTGTCATCAACAGCCCTTATCAGGGCTACCTCGTCTTATCTTATTGACTCGGTTACAGTGTGTTCAGGTGCTCATTGACCGCTGTACAGTGACCTTCTTTCGGCTAAAATCTTTTATTTTAAATTGTACAAAAGAAAATTATCATAAATTTGTGCTTCAAAATGAACCCCTTTAGGACATGACCAGAGTGACATGCCCGGATCCGTTATTGATTTCAAGCAAAAGCTTCTTTAGATCCTTCAGTTATAGCTTATTTTCAGAAGCTCAAAAATTGTCCAACAAATAGGGATTCGAGTCAATGAACTCTGTAAATAAAAAAGAACTCAGAAACTGAAAGTTTTTTTAGTTTTTTAACAGAATATTTATTTGTCATAGCTGACTACTGAAATTTTAAATCAAACACAACACAAATCATGTAAATAATGGCATTTATAATTAAGCATGAAAAGCAACAATAGAAATAACAAGAACATAAATATAAATGAAATAAAGCAACATCATCATCCATTTTGTACAGTAGGCAAATCAACAATGTCAAATAATCATTCATTATATAAAACAATAGAACACCGTTATTTAACCCACAACATAAAACACTCTTTATTGTACTAGGTATGATGAACTGTGACCGATATGCAATCTCATTTGCCCAGCAATAACAAAGCAAACTGTCCATGTGATTCTAGACCTCTATAAACTGTTGAACTCAATGCCACTATCAGAACCTCAACCATATACCACCTATATTGTTTGACAGTATACCAATCTAACCATATCTACACATCTACAATATGCCGACTAGCGTTTCTTGAGATATCCAAAAAGAATCCATAGAACGCTACAGGCTGTTGACCTACCATCATCTAACTAAAGGACAAGCCTTCTCTTTCCTTCCCGTCTCTTTTGCTTCCAGGTAAATAAGCAAACTGTCAAGTAATTTCAAATCTATACAAACTGTTGACTACCTAAAGGACTTACAATATCTCCTGCTTGCTCACAACAAAGAAACGGACATGTCAACATCGTAAAAGTTATATGACAATATTCCAGCTTTACAGCTTAAAAAGGTTGGAGAGGAAGACCTTAGATGTTCCTCTATGCATAATTTAAGGCACTAACAACCAAACAACATTGTGATATAAAGCACATCTATATACAAAATCATTTTATGAAAATATCTGTTGATTATTGCAACATTTTATCAAATTTTAAACTAGCACAATATAATGATTATGATCTACATGTAATTGAACTAAATGAACAATTTCTTTGCTCCAAATTATCAACACTTACAAAGCAAAATGAAATAATTCCTTTAAAATATATCTTTTCTTAAGTGTATATTATAAAATAGTAACAAAATCATAAAGCTGCAATAAATAAGAACACTAGCCTACATGAAACTACGGAATATTAATGAACTATTTTTATGCAAAATTGGATATTCAAACTCTTGAAAAGGCCACCATTTTTTTTACTTGTTTATGATTTTTTAAACAGTCTACAAATGTAAAAATGCAAATAACCATGTGATAAGTCAATCATGTGTAGTCCAATTCATTGTTATTGATATTTACTGACAAAAATAGCTAACTTTATACAATGAACTGACTAAATTGGCAGCAGAGAAAATACAATAACAGTTTTTTTTTAACAAATGAAACCCTTCTATGAATTATATGAAATAATGGTTTAGTACTGCATGTACTTACAGAAAAAAAATTTGCTACAATGTACATTTACAATAAATCAATTTTTCCAAGACAAATGCAAGACTAACCTAATTATACATGTACTACATGTACTAAAAGAAAAAAATAAACAACACAAGCATCTGTAAATTAAATGAAAAATCATAAACGTCCTGCCATTATATGTTTTATTAAAATTAATACTATCACATCACTGGTTTGTTGGTAAGAACAATAATTCAAAGATTAAACAAAACTTTGCTTTTACTTATTAAGTGTTAAAACACTAACCTTACCACGCTAATTATCTTTAATGGACTGACACATTTTTTTTCTGGACAAAACGATTCATCATTTTTTGGGAATATTGATTGAAAATCTTGTGCACAGCAAAAAAGTGCAGACCATGATCTTATTCTGCAATGGGTTCATAGGTAAATGCAGTTGCAGCCTGCATTTAGAACAACTGGAGCGATACTTGATCCCTATCTATGTTAAAGCATAAAATGTTCTTGCTTTAAGTTATATGTATACATCTTTAGCTGAAATGAAAAGTTCAATTAATTATTTATAAATAAAGTTCCTCTTCATCTTTTTCCGGAACCTCTTCATCATCATCAGACACATCTGCTTCTTTATCCTTACTGGCACCACCATCCTCATCATCTTCATTAGATCTTTTCAGAGACACCTTTAAATTATGAGCACTTTCTGACCTGGTGTTGGAAAAAAATAAAGATTAACAAGCTGTGGCTTATAATGACTTTTGTATAGAGATAATTATTTAAAATTGTAGAATTGAAAAGAAAATCTATATGGATATAACATAAAATCCTATAATATCTTTAATTACCTAATTCAACAACTTGGGATTTCTAAGAACTCTTTCATTTCTATTTAAAATTTATATAGTATAACTGGCTTTATCAACCAAAGCAAGACATCATCATCTACTTTCAGATATTTATATATTTACATACATGTATTTAAAATATGAATTTAAAGTTTGTATTATTTAGTCTGTTGTTTTTGTTGAGTTTTTTCATACCAGTAATAATCTAATAGTAAAATATTTTTTTCCACTATAATGGACTAACACCTGAATTTAAAACTTTTAGGGTTTTCCGAGCTTATTTGGAGTACAAACAACTTACATAAAACACTCAATAATTTGATTAATCTATGGTGAATGGTGGTGTACCATGTAGACAAAGGTAAATATTTGTTCATACCAGGTAATAACACTGGAAAAACCCACATTTAACAAGCTCCAACTAACATCTCTTTGCTTTCAAGTGACATCATATAATTACGCTTAAGGAATATCTGTATAAAACTCTTCAAAACTGATAAAAAATAGATTTGTAAACCTGGTAGATTGAGTCTCTTTTTCATCATGTCTTCCCTCGCCAAAAGCTGTATGTTTGTCATCATCCTTACCATCACCATTGTCATCATCTGTATTTATTGCATCATCCTCTTTACTGTTTGTGTCACTGAACTTCTGTCTGTGCCGTGATTCATCATTCTTTTTATCATCATGCACATTCTCTTCCAACAGTCTCTCTTTCTCTATGTTTTCAGTTTCACTGTTGCTTTCTTTATCACTATCAACATCTTCATGTTTGTTTCCGACAGAACGTAAATCTTTATCCCTAAGCTCTATTTCTAAACTGTCATCATCACTATCTTCATCAAATGTATTAATTTCTTTCAACTTCTCACTAAATGACCCTTCGAGTTCTACTGATGGTTCCATTTTATCACCATCTTGGTTTGACCTACTTGTAACCTGACCAAGTCTTCCAGATGCAATATTTGCTTTTTTGTTAGGGGGATCCGGTTTTCTACTTTCATCATCTGAGTCACTTAACATGTCTGATTTGTTCTGAACCTCTTTGCTTGATTCTTTGATTTCTTCTTTTGTTCTTTCTCTTGGTTTACTTCTATCAGTATCATGTGCATCAGAATCTTCATCATCTGATTTATCTTTATTAGTTTCTTGTTTTACTGGTTTAGTAAAGCTTTCAGCTTGGAAATTGTGTTTTGCTTTTCTCATCCAATATCTAAGATGGGTATAAAGTAACAAAGAAAGTCAAAGAAAGAAAACTTTTAACACTAATCTTTATGGGCAAATCGACTAAAAGCATTACATTTGCCGATAACAACAGCATTACAATGAAAACGAAGGAAACAAAAGAACTGCCAATATTAAAGTAGATAGGTCTTCCAGGGGCATATTTTCTATAAACCTTTCAAATACATATATTGATTAAAAATTAGAAATGTATCATTTGGATATTCTTATAAAAGTTGTTTGAGAAAATAATGTTGATTATAAGACTGAACCTTTACATTTGTATATGATGAATAATAATATTTTGTTCTAGAACATTTTATAATCTGCTATATAAATACATGTATGCGTTACATTGAATCAAGTATCTCACACTTGCCAACAACTTCAATATATAATTCTTTCATTGTATGCTGTTTGATTCTAAATACTTTCAATGTAATTATTTATTGTATTACAGACCTTCCACTGTAGACCAATTCACTTTAATGTAAGAAAATTTGTAAATTACATGTTTAACATTTATTATATACTATTACAAATGTACTTCATACAAGACCCTTACCTATCAGTTGCAGCTGCAACAGACTGTGAGCTGTCACAGTCCAGTAGTGACTGGACAATAGTGATAGTAGCCATTGCAGAATCCTGATCAAAACATACCAAATGTATCTCTTTAAGGTGGCGCTTAGTTGTTGACTGGTCAGAAAATATAAGCAATGCATCATAAAATGCCCCAATGCACACATCCAATGGGAATCCAAATGAGCCTGTTAAAAAAAAACATTCAAACATTACTTTTGTAGTAAAATAATAAACTTTATCGGTGAAAAATGAGTACACTTTATATCACTGTCCCAAACCAATCAATACATGTACTTGGTTTGCACTTGCTATGTCAATAGAGATAAAACAAAAGAAAGAACTTGAAATAGATAAATACTTCAATAAAGTCAACACCACATCATGAATTGATGAATTGAATGTAGGTAGGCATCATTTGTTAGTAATGTTTGAACAATTTGGTGGCAGAAATCAAGACATTTTCATAAAACAAGAATGCCATTAACAAAGTAATGGTGAAAATTTCTACCTTTTAAAAATTTGAAGGTCAAGTCATTTTAGGATGCATGTCATAAATCTTTTAACTAGAAGGTCAAGTTCATTTCAGGTTCAATGTCATATATTTTAAGTTGAGTAGATAAAGATAATCCTGATCAATGTTCCTATGACAGCATGATTAGATTAACTGGCAAGATCAGCCATTTTTGCATAAATTCAATACAAATAACAGTTGTATTCTCTAGATCAATGTCATTTCAGGTTCAATGTCATATATTTCTTAACTTGAATGTCAGGATTTACTTAAGTAAACCTGTGCAGAGGGTTTTGTGCCTAAGCATAAAGGCTCTAGTCTATGATGTAGATTTTATGGCTAAGATATTCAATTTTCTGCAGATTAACAGACTGAACAAAAACAGTATGCTCCCATTCCGTCAATCTTTAGATATATGTGTATAACACAAATTTTTTTAAACATACAATAGTAATTTAAATACATATCATTGTACTGTTTAAAGATATGGCTGAAACACAACTTGTGTTAAAGTTTTGTCTCAATCAATAGAAAAGAGACTAAATTGAGTCTCAAATTACCTTAACTTTTATTATTTCATTTTCATCAATATGTCATTGTTTACAAAAAACAAAATCACAAAAATAGCCATAATTACCAGCACTGATCAAAGGTGTGGCTAAAGACTGTACCCACAGTTTTTCATCTGCATATTGGAAACAGTTGATATACGTACATACTAGCATATGTGTACAAAAGTCACTGTCTTCTTCACGCCAAGTTGGTCCAGCTGTGTGTATCACAAACCCAACTTTCTCATTCAAAGTACCTGAAACATTGAATATATTTAAAATTTAAGACTATAAAATGCTGTCAGTGAAACGTGACATTAATGTTTAACACTCTCAATTTATGATGACAAAAAGTTCACCAACAAATTTTCTTATTTTTCTTGACTTTGACTTCTGCATGTGACTGTAACCTTAAGTGACAGGGACCTGAACTTTGTGCTTAACATTCCTCATCACATTGAGCTTAGCGGGCAGACAGCTATGATCTTTCTTTTTTATTTTTTAATTAGAGATAAATTTACCTCCTGCTGAAGTATGTGTAACCCCTGCATAATTCATTAGTCCGTTTTCTTCTACATAACGCTGGCATTCCATTTGTATTTCATGTCCAGCTGATGCCACAATAGCCCTCGATACTCCATACACATTGGTGAGGTCAGGGGTTGTGGGATTCACAATTGTGTCTGTCGTCTGCTTGGTGATATCGTCCATAGCAACGTGCACTTTTATGTTACCAGCTAGCTCGAACGTAAAACTTAATGGAACCTCGCCAAAGTCTGTTTGGGCTACATCAATACCTTTGGTCATCCGTGGAACAGCTTTTTGTGGTCTTTAAAAAGTTGAGAATAGCAAAATATTAGCATGAAAAACAAATGGCAAAAAAATCGTGTCATTATACATACAGTACATTTTCCCAATCAATGTTTTTAATTGATCAGTTTTACTATCAAAAGAGTCTTAACAATGTTTACATCAAATGCTGTGGTACTAACAATATATTACTAAATTTGATGATTTTCATTCAAAAATAATTGTCAAAAGGAAACTGATATTTTGACAGCTTTGAAGGAAAATGTTTTGATTTAAAACCTTCAGTAGGTGTTGCAGAGTATTGTTTTGATATCTAAAATAAAAACAAAGTACCATAAAATTAAAAACAAATTTTTTTTGGTTGAGTTTTAGGTTTGACCAACAGTCAGTATAGGTTATATGGCAACTTTCTAGCTTAACTGATCCATCAGAAGACATTGGGTGCCCTTCTGTGCATTATTTCAGGCATGAACGGGCCCACAAGTTGAACCACTTATATTCCGTAAGCTAGCTGGATAGCTTCCGCACATGAAAGAATCCAAAGATTCTGTTGGCATTCTAATCCACAGAGGAGAGGGGCAAGTGGTTTGAAGTCAACAACCTTAACCACACTGCCACAGAGTTTTTATCTGAAAGTGAAACTCTGAAAGTGAAATACCCTCTTATTATCCCTTTAACTCATAATGTAACACAAGGGCTAATAAATGACATTATTATGAAACTGTAGAAAAAACATCTTAAAACATACATACCTCCTTTTATTTTCATCAAAATTTGTGTCACTCCCGAACGCCACTCTTCTATCATAGGCAGCAGCTAAATTAGCCTCATTCTCACTATCAGAGTCGTCCCCCTTATCAAACCTATTGTACGATTTTCTCCCTTGACCCCAATACTCATCAGCATTGAAATTGCCAGTAGCTCCATGGCTGTTATTGTAATAGTAATTATCATCCTCATTCTTGTCATCCAGATTTGAACGCATAGTTTTACTGTATAATTTACTTCCGGTAGAACGGGATTTAGCCGTTTCGCCTTCTGTAGCCAATGCATTTTTGTTCTTTCTCCCCCTTTGAACGAAATCTTCATTATAACTGGACCGGTCTCCGGACATTTTACTTAGGTTAGACATTGGAGTGCCGGTCGAGGCTGGCAGAGATTTTGGCTGCTCGTCGCCTCTAGGTTGTTTTACAATTGGAATGTTTGGACGCTTGATTTGATGACTACGAGGAGGACTTTCATCTCGCGCCTCGGTTTGTTTTCTCTGTGCCCCTCCTTGTGATATCCTATTTGTATTTAATACAGGACTACGTAACTCATTACCTGACTGCGAGTCCGGTAGATATGCATCTAACACAGTGTCCAGATACTGCATTGCCCACTCAATCTACATAACATAACAGCTAGAGAACAAACACTAATTACAAATGAATGTATACTTCCATAATATATCATTTTCATAATTATAATGAATGGGATAGTAAAAGTTCAAAAAAAAAAATATTGATTGAACTGTATTTATGTTTGAGTCTATTGACATTATTGAATTTACATTTTCCATGACTAAAACACATGCCCTTCTCTCTTTGACAATAAAATATAATGCCATTAGTCTATCTCTTTATTTCGAACAAATATTTCATTGATCATTCATTTTCATATTTATTGAGTGATCTTATCAAACAAATTTTAGTTTGTAAATTTTAAATGTTATTTCTGACACAGACTTTAAGGTCAACAAATATGGAATACTGATTCAATTTATATGTAATTAGCTTTGGTCCGTACATACCTTATACCAAGATCCATCAAACAGATATCTTTCTTTCTCATATTGAAAGTTTATGTTTATCTCCCCTATAAACTGCAACTCATCAACAAGTTGAGGGTTTACACTGAGAATGTTGGAAACATCCTTCTCTAACTCTACCACAGCACGACGGAAAACCTAAATCATAGCAAATAATTGTTTGTATTTTATAAACTTGAAACTAGAAATGTATCCATTCCACACTGATGTCCCAAACTGAACTCCATTTGCCATTCATTAAGGCATATTCACACACTTATGCAAATTTTATTGAAGGCAAAGTGTTATATTAATAAGGAATACATATAAAAATAGTATTATAATTAATAAATTTCACAAACCTTATAATGACCGAGGAAACTAGTTATTGATTAGACAAGGATTTCACATTAAATGCTGCAGTGACCTTGACATCCAAATGAATAGGGGATCCATTGGCTATACCAAGTTAAAAAAACCAAGGTTTATTCTTTCTCAAGTTATTGTTGGACAGGGAATTTACACTAAATGCCACTGTGGCATTGACCTTTGACCTGAAAATCAATAGGGGTCATCTCCTGCTCTTACCAAGAAACATAAACTACAGCTATTCCTTCTCAAGGTATGGATCTGAGACAGGGATATTACATTAATGAATAGCGGTCATCTAACATACATGGGCAATGAGCCTAACAAGTAACATAAACCATTTGTTGTTCTTTCTCAAGTTACTGACTAGACAAGGATTTAACATTAAGTATCACTTTGACCTTAACCTTTGTTCTAATAACCTCAAAATCGTGAACTTGACCCTAATGATCTAAATATCAATATGGGGGGGGGGGGGGGGGGGGGTTTACTGAACACACGCAATGTCCCTACTTAGTTACATAACCATTATTTTGGACAAGGTTAATCACTTTTGGTTCAAGAAGGTTGCAAATGTTTGTTAGTCAGTTTGTTTGGGTTTAAAGGCACACTGACCATGTTGAAGTAAAAAGATATTACCAAAATTGACACCATAAAAAGACCATGAAAACCTTTATATGATAAGTACTGTATTTTATGTCTTTCAATGTATAAAACTGAAACCAAATTTTATATTTCACTCAGTTTCACAACAGTTTGATATGACTTATATCTCATTGTTATATTCAATATCTTACTGAAAATCATCAGATAAACTACTGCATGTTTTAACATATGAGCCGCGTCACGACAAAACCAACGTAATGCGTTTGCGACCAGCATGGATCTAGACCAGCCTGCGCATCCGCGCAGTATGATCAGGAATCACTGTTTGCTATCAGTTTCTCTACTTGTTATAGGGTTTGTAAGCGAACAGCATGGATCCTGATCAGACTGCGCAGGCTGGTCTGGATCCATGCTGGTCACAAACGCATTATGTTGGTTTTGTCATGACGCGGCTCAAATGCAGAAATTCTAAATTTTCCCAATATTGATTAGTCTGGCAAACTTTCTGTACAATGTCAAAAAGAATAAAATATTCCAGTTGTAGACTTGCTATGTCTATGTAGTGAAAGCTTGCTGAAAAGCATTAAAAATGTACCAGTTTTCACTACCATAAAGTATTATTAAATGAGTGGTTTGTTGATGTCAGTTCTCTTTTTAAGCATATTTTTAAAACTTCTAGGCCAGCCTTCTAAAAAACCTTGTTACATTCTTGTCGTGACTCATGCCAATTTGAGTTTTGCAGGTGCCAGGTAGGTAAAATAGTATTTTTTATCTAAATATTTTTTTATCTGAATTGTATGGATTAAAAAAAAATATTAATGCTAATAGTACAGAACTAAAACTTAAAAGTTTCGAAGTTTTATTCAGTATATATCCCTAACTTTACAATGCAAAAAATAATTACACAGACAAATATATGGAAGTGGATTCTCATTGACTCTGCTTCCATGTTTAGCAAAAAAAATTTTTTGTTTGTTTGGCAATTATTATTTTTGGGTAGCTGTGATATTTGTGGGAAGGTTTCAGGAGGGAAAACAAACACTATTTATTTTAGGCCCTTGGAAAATCACTAGATGAAAGTACTTAGTCCTACTGTTTAAATCACAGCAATGGAACCCATATAATCATATATAAAGATGATAACTGATAGTGCATAATACCTGTTTAGGGGTTGCTGATACGCCAACAGGCTGTCCCGATAAAGTATGCTCCCTTTTAAGAACCTCCTGAACAACTGAAGAAAGATAAAGGAAAAGTAAAAACACATAAAAATTTATAATTGCTACTTTTTTTTATAAAAATTTAATGTAAAGAATTAATTTAGTTTTTTATGTCATGTAATCTAAATGCATTTACCGTCTTGTTTCCATTTTCCCATGCCCCCCTCACCTTCACACATCCCTCTAATTAGAACCCTGTCCCCCGCCACATTTTATAGAAAAACAATTAATGGCTCTCCAGTAATGTTAAAATCATTAGAATAGAGTAATCCTGTATTATAATACATTTGTAAACATATATTGTATCTTTAATAAACATATTTCAAAGCACATTTTTTTTTTTATAGTTCTAATTAGTGCCCCACTTCCCCACACACCCACCCCCCTTTGAAAAAAATGCAATCCCCAGGGGTGTTATATGAAAACAATACGGTAAGTGATCATGACGCTGTTTACTTAGTTTGGTGTTGATTAAATGACTGGCTTGTTAGTTCCAAAACATAACCTTATTTTAACCTTGGCAGCACCTATATGTCATGCTTAGATTAAAGTTACATTAAATAAATTTCATAAAAAAAGAAATAGCGACATTTCATTAATAAATTGGGTTTCATATCGACTCCAGATCTTATTTTGGTGTCCAGGCAACCAAAATGAGTTTAATGAGCATACAAATGTGCAACCTCATTGTGGCGAATTCGGAAGTACAATTTCTGTTTGCATGAGAAACACCGCCTTCAGATCACCCGTACATCAATATTAAATCAACAAACATGACTATAAGTAGCAGTCCTAATTTAACGGTATATTTCCGCATTGTAACGGATATTTTCATACAAATTTAATCTGTTTTATGAGATGATTATTTTTTCTGAACCACAGGCCTAGTGCACCGTGAAGCTTAAACGGTAAAAGTGTGTTTGCACAAGAAAATCTTATATTTGCTGTGTTCCGGATAGCAACTATAACTGCGTGAAGTAGCGCATACACGAGCTGATTATAGTCTTCATTTGCATGTTAAAATTTGTATATGAACTTTAGTGTAACCGTGGGGTTTTCCATTTAAAATCCTAATTTATGAACAATATTTGATGAGATTTACAACGATACTGTTAAAAAGGTTAATGAAACTGTAGAATGCTTGGTTTTTAGGCCGACGGCAAAAATATTTTAACATATTTATTTAATGTAACTTTAAGTTGATAAAAATTAAATAAACATTCAAATTTCATGCAAAATTTAAGGTTTAGTGATATAAACATTATACACTGACTGAAAATTGATGAATTGAAATCTGTTTATTTTTCTTCTATTTCATCCAAGGTATTATGTACCTGAGCTCAGTAATTCTTAAAAAAAAATTTTCATTCTCCAAATACCGTAAAAGTGTGATATCAGTACCTCTTTTATCATCAAAAATAACAACAGCTGTTGCATGGGGTAGGGGATGATATATATTCTCTATATGACCTCCACCATTCCTGGGGTTACTGAAGTACACCTTAAGGTGTTTGTCAGTAATATTGTCCGGTAAGCCAAATACTCGAATCCCATACATATTTTGTTGAACTGAAATAAAGTAAAAAAGATTGAAAAAAACTGATTGATTTTATGATGTTATGGAACAAAAGATGGTTAATTGAATTTAATTGTTCTTATAAATCCTTCAAATTAAGCATGAAATAATGAAATTATAATTAATAATAACAATGAAGCAAATAATTATATTCTTGCACATCAGACTGTTATTTCCATTAGTTTTACCCACACTACAAATTTTATCTGGCATGGGGATGCCAGATATTTCAGACTCAGTGGTGTTTCCATTAGTTTTACCCACACTACAAATTTTATCTGGCATGGGGATGCCAGATATTTCAGACTCAGTGGTGTTTCCATTAGTTTTACCCAAACTACAAATTTTATCTGGCATGGGGATGCCAGATATTTCAGACTCAGTGGTGTTTCCATTAGTTTTACCCACACTACAAATTTTATCTGATATGAGGGGTGCCAGATATATGAGGTCATGTTTCCATTAGTTTTACCCATGCTGCAAATTTTAACTGGCACAGGGGTGCCAGATGAGTTGCGTTCACCATTATTTTGGCGCATGTGTGCATGTCACTATACCCCCTATTTAAACAATGGTGAATTATTGTGTTCGATTATTCGAAATCAGAATGATGCAAGCATCGTTTATCGCCCAATGGGCAAGTACCCTCAGTACGGATATTCCTATCTGAAACTCTGCAATACATGACAGTTATTATCAGTCTAGTAAAATGAGGCAAGACAGGCAATGTCTAGTAAATAGTATCCCTACATCAAATACAGATTTCCTCCAACTTTACCATATATTAGTACTCCTTCTTTCATAGCATTTTACTATTGGATAAAGTCCCTGGCAACATAGCCACCCTGCCTGACTTAGGTCTGTTCAAGGGCAAAAGAAGTGTTGCAATAATAGCCTAGCTCTAAAAGTGTTTTAACTAATTTAATCTTTTGACTTTTTCTCTCACTATAAACATTTTAACCATAACTATAACACTTCCAGTCTCACCTTTCCACATGTTAAGTTGTTAACAATATCTGGACTTAATTTTGTTCACCTTTTACAAAAAGTCCAACACACACTTTAATAATTTCCTGTCTATAACACTCGCAAGAAGGGTTATTAATTGATATTATATAGAGGATATTTGTTTACTTCAGTGCAAGATCGGAATATATTTCACTGAGTGAGCACCAAAAGGTATATTTCACAAGTGGCGCCCGAGTGAATATGAACTCTTGGTGTTCACGAGGTGAAATCTATTTCGATTTTACATTAAACTAAACAAATTTTCTTTTTATTATATGCAAAGAAATGCTTAAAAAGACATTTTAGCCTAGTACTAAATGAAAAGGGCGCCAAATAATAGTACAACGTGACATCATTTACGACGTCACATCATTAAGTTGGTTTCCAGTACTGTGAACGCTTGTATTTCACTGAAACAATGTAACGGGCTCAAATATTCAAAACAGTGAAATTATCAAATTGATAATTTCACTGTTTAAAATAGTGTGATTATCAGTTTTTATTACACTGATATATTTCTATAAACCACCGAAAAGCATGTAATAAATAATATTATAGTGATCGACATGCTAATAAGTCACTTTATCTCCATTACAAAAGTTGTCAGTCCTACAATACATTTAAATATTAAAACCAATTGAAATGGATTGAAAATCTGTGTCAATCTTTTATTACAAAATAACTTTATAAATAAATCCCACAATATGTTATCTGAAATTGGGACAAATATTGTCCCAGCCAGGGTCTTTCAAATTCTATTCGCTGAATATTAACTGACTTGGCGGGGTACGTGTGCCTTCGATAAACTTTGTTCTTTTTTTATCGTCCGAGTGACTTTATTAAACATCAACAATTCCATTAATACTTACAGAAATAACAGACTCCAATCCAGTACAATAGCTTTTCAAAGCAATGAAAACGTTTTGTCTTTCGGTTTACCTTACGTCCTTAGTCTACTTTCATTTTAACTTCCTTTTAATAAAACGAGGGATAATTTTTAAAATATTACAAATAGCAATAAAACAGGTTTGAAAAATTATAGTCTGGTTTAAAGTTCACTTGTGCAACTCACCAACTATCTTTCCTGACCAAAAACAACTTATAGATTAAACCGGAATTTTCCGAAATTACGTTCCTAAAAAATTGAAACCGAAAGTGGAAATTCCCATTTTATGTTGAACACCACTATTTTTTCGAAACCCATCTTCTGTTAGTATAAGAAAAGGACAGTACTGTGTTATGTTATAACTTAATAATTTGCCGAAAAATCATTACATTATACCTTGAAAAAATTAGTACAGAAATCTGGTAGTTATGATACTTGATATTAAAAACCAAAATTAGGTGTTTTCCACAAATCTATTTCTGAAACAGTGACCTTACCTGTGTACATTTGTACATCTCCAATATATCAAGGGAAACTAACTTAGATTTATCTTGCTTTGCACGTATACGATTTCTCTCCCTTTTACCAACAGATACCAGTATGAATGAATACCAAAAATACCAGTTCGATATCATTTGATTTTGTCACCAATGTGATATCATGAGACATGCATCTTCACTTCAGCTTGGAGGTTGACATACATGATATGTTGACCCCATATATGCCTATATTGACCCCATATATAAGTATGGGTGGGGCTTCTATAAGTTCTGTACACAGCAACCTTTTTTCTAAAGGAGAAATTTGTTTAAATGAGTTGACAGTTAATGTCATTTAAAAGTCAATTAAATAGTTAGTCAAAAATGTTTCAATTATTTTTCATTATGTTGGTTTGTCAAACAATGGAAAAAAACGTCCAGTAACTAGGCCTATAAAACACAATAATTTGACCATCAGATTCAAGTCCTTTATGAGTCTAGGTCAAGATTAGTTACGTCTTATTGATATAATTTGACCATCAGGGTCAAGTCCTTTATGAGTCTAGGTCAAGATTAGTTAAGTCTTATTGATATAATTTGACTGTCAGAGTCAAGTCCTTTATAAGTCTAGGTCAAGATTACATGTAGTTAAGTCTTATTGATATAATTTGACCATCAGGGTCAAGTCCTTTAATTATGAGTCTACATGTAGGTCAAGATTAGTTAAGTCTTATTGATATAATTTGACCATCAGGGTCAAGTCCTTTATGAGTCTAGGTCAAGATTAGTTAAGTCTTATTGATATACATGTAATTTTACCATCAGGGTCAAGTCCTTTATGAGTCTAGGTCAAGATTAGTTAAGTCTTATTGATATAATTTGACCATAAGGGTCAATTAAGTCCTTTATGAGTCTAGGTCAAGATTAGTTAAGTCTTATTGATATAATTTGACCATCAGGGTCAAGTCCTTTACGAGTCTAGGTCAAGATTAGTTACATGTAAGCCTTATTGATATAAATTGACCATCAGGGTCAAGTCCATTATGAGTCTAGGTCAAGATTAGTTAAGTCTTATTGATATAATTTGACCATCAGGGTCAAGTCCTTTATGAGTCTAGGTCAAGATTAGTTAAGTCTTATTGATATAATTTGACCATCTGAGGGTCAAGTCCTTTATGAGTCTAGGTCAGGATTAGTTACATGTAAGCCTTATTGATATAATTTGACCATCAGGGTCAAGTCCATTATGAGTCTAGGTCAAGATTAGTTAAGTCTTATTGATATAATTTGACCATCAGGGTCAAGTCCTTTATGAGTCTAGGTCAAGTTTAGTTAAGTTTTATTGATGTACATGTATTTCTATAACAGGCTGTTGTGTCCTAAATTACAGACAATTCATTCATAAATTACAAAGTTATAGCCAGTTGTAACAAATATCAAGCAAAATTCAAGTCTGACCTTGAAGGTCAAGGTCATTTATAGGTTAAGGGCAAGTTCAGTCTAGTCAACTTGAACGTCTTGTCTAAATGGTTATTGTATTTAAGAATGAAGGCAATCCATTTCAAATAGAAATAATATGACCAATGTTAATAATTTTTCACAAGGCCATAGCAAACGGCAACATCATGACTGTAGCAAAAGCTGGAATATCATTAAAGAAAAAGTTGGGCTCAAAATACTTCTGTGTTAGCATATGTTTTAAGTTACACCAACACTGAAAATGTGATATGGTGACTTTTAAGCATTAATACTGGTGGAAGAAAATGTAAGGCGTTCCTCTAGACATGTGTAAAATCCCTGACCCTATTTAAGCTACATGCAGCTTAATAGCTTAGACTGCACATTACAAAATCTAAAATTATTAAGAGGATTTCATTTGAATCTATAGAGTATAAACATGGAGCTTAATAAAGTATGTATATCTGTGGTATAAAGTGGTAAGGGATAAGTCATTTGTTCAAGGTCAGCAGTCTCAGCCACTATGTTATCCCAGACTTATATCTACATTAAAGTCTGTGATGACTAATTACATTTAAGTCTGTGATGCCACAAAAGCCCTTATCTGATATTATCCCCCTTTTTGTGATGAAACAAAAGCCTTAAATGGAAGGAGCTTGAGCAAAATTCTTCATAAAACTACAAGATGACTACAACAAGAGCTGTCCGTAAGACAGCGCGCTCGACTTTTTTATTGCTTGCCAATAAAAAAAGTTTTTGCAGTAAAAGGCAATACAAGAATCTCTGTATTTTTAAAGTGAACAATGGCCATGAGCATTAAGATATTTAGTGAAGAATTATTTTACTGAATTGTGTGATACCCTTGAACACTGCAGCAAAGTTTGAAATGTTTAAGTCAAAAGAGGGCTGGTAAGAAAGAAAAAAAAACTGAGTTGAGCCTTAAATAAATTTAATAGTATTAAACCCACTTTGAGAGAATAAGGTATTTTTACGTCACTCAGAACACCTTGGTAAATGACATAATAACATAATTTTTCAAGAAATCTATGCCAAGGAAGCAGTATATTTTTGTACAATCAGCATAATATATAGATTTGACTTTGTATGTGAAAGTATTATAGTTACTTATAATACAAGTAATAGATAAATTTTATCAAGCTTTTTTAGATGTTGTCAGTTGGTCACAAGTGGATCTCTTTCTCAAACAGTTCAGTCAAAAAGTGGACTGGTACTAAAAACTTAACCAAGATTCTAAGTCGATAAAAGGCCTTAATTTTTAAAACAAATCCTTGACAGAGTTACCTTCTCTTGCGTACAGATGGGGGTAATGATGTGAAATAGCATTAAAAGTTTCAAAGCAATATCTCAAAGGGTTAAGGCAATAAGTGGATTTTACCCATATTCAATGTATTTTCTAAGTCAAAAAGGGGCATAATTCTGTCAAAAAACTTGACAGAGTTATGTCCTCTTGTCTGTTGATGAAGGTCGTGATGGTAAACAAGTATGGTCAGTTTCAAAGCAATACCTCCAATGGTTTTGAAATAAAGTGAGGTGGTACAAAAAACTTAACCAAGCTCAATACACTTTCTAAGTCAAAAAAGGGCCATAATTCTGTCAAAAACCTTGACAGAGTTATGTACTCTTGTCTGTAGATGGAGGTTATGATGGTGAACAAGTATGGTAAGTTTCAAAGCCATACTTGTAATACTTCTGAAATAAAGTGGGGTGGTACGAAAAACTTAACCAAGGTGTGACGCCAACGCCGACGCCGACGCCGGGGCGAGTAGGATAGCTCCCCTTTTCATAGAAAAGTCGAGCTAAAAATTGATGATATTTTTTATTTTTCAATAATATATAAGAATATCAATCTACCATTATTCATATAGGTAGTTAAATTAAAATATTAAATTACAACAAATTACAATATCTTAAAATATACAATGGCATGAGTATGCTTCCACAAACATTTGCCTTTCATAAACTACATGAAGTCAGGAAAGATAGATAATTCTCCCTATACATTGAACATTTTCTACAAAGTTCAACTTCATGTCATTTTAGAAAAATTGTTTTTTGTTCATGTTTCTTTGTTTTGTTTTTCTCTCAGAATTTCAAGAAAAATTAAGATACAATAAATTTCACAATAATTATTATAAATCATTATACATGTATATAAAAAAATTCATTTGATACCTATAGGTCTGTCTTTAAGTAAATTGTTGTTAATTGATGCAGGGTCTGTGAAATCTTAACTTTTACCATGGAAACAACAAAGCCATTGTGATAGTTTATTGACAATAAGCAATAATTATCTTTACATCTATATATACATATATCAATATAATTATCATATGATATCCTAACAATCAGTTACATGTTCATGTATATCTAATTATAACTTTTTATTGCACATGAAAATCAAAATCACTTTGTTTGAAACACAAAATAATGCCTTTTTATGAATAGGAGAAACTATTGCAAGTTTTGGGGCAAGTTTCTACCCAAAAGTCTGTTAGAAAGGAGAGAAAATGGGTAGGGGAGAATTGCATTAACATAAAACATTTTATTTTAAGTTACACCAGAACTACAATCAAAGTAATTAATACAAGTTTTATTAAGTTTTGTATATTGCCTCATTTTTAGGGAAAGTTATTAACTGAAATAACATGGTTAAGACAAATTTTCCCACAAAATAAACAATTACAAAGATAACAGTACTTAGTCTATAACTATGGCAAAAGTACAAAACTTCTTGCTCAGCAGTAATAGATATTATCCAGAACTCGGCAAATGTGGGGTTTTCCCAGCAAATCCGTAATTACAAAAAACTTTTACCAATATAGCTTCATGGTGCACAACCCGTCAAAATAGATTAGTTAACATGCTGCACTTATTTTTGAATCTGTAACTGTAAAAGTTTGTTTGTAGCTACGGATTAACTGGGAAAAACCCAAATTATTCTTAATTCGAGAGTTAGTCTTTTTCTAGCAGTGGTAAGCAGTTGAATGAAGCTTTATTCTATAATTCATATCCTCTAAAATTTCCTTGTAATAAACACTGAATAGACAGACAGAGGGATGAACAATCAGACAGAAAGACACACAAATGAACGTAAATAAGAGGAAAATGCATGAAATACAATGTACTCAAGTATTAGTTCTGAATACAATGTCTCATTTCTGAATGTATAAATGACAAAGGGATATAGAATATATATGGTTATACATTTGTATTACAAAAAAAAGAAGTTTGATTCCTTGTGTGGATCTAATATATAAGAAAATAGGTCTCTGTGAAATGCAGAATATAAATATTGTTCACTTTTTGCAAGTTTATTTCTGTGTACTTTCTGAATTTCCCAGAAACCTATTTTTTATATCATGGTTATATTACTAGACATGAAAAAAAAATTCATGTGCTAAAAAAATATACTAACACTTGTCATGATTAACAGCAGTAAAGAAATAGTAAGACCATAATTTATGTTGACAATTTTTGTTTTTTCTTTGTATCACAACAGGCGATAAAAATTTATAGTGGAAAGAATAGGCAAATTTGATGGGTAAAGGCAGAGTAATGAGTGAAGATTCCATTTTGAATATTGCCGAGCTAAAAATAATATAATTGGCAAGTAAATATGGTTTGCACCATTTCTAATATTGACTGTACTTCCGCCTTTATGATTGATATGAGATTCTGATAGGGGTTGAATGTAGATAACTTTACAATTATATACCTGTCCAAATATTTTTGCATTTAATGCATGTATTACATGCAAAAATTTTTTACAACTCAACATTTTTAAAAAAATTATATCACATTCAAGTATGATCTGGAATGATGTTGCTAGCCTTAAACTAATTATAAAATTATTATGGTTGAATATTTAGTCTAAATTTGACAAGTATTTAATAAAAGAGTTATTATTAGGAGAACATTTATCTTGATTTATTACTCATGGACTTTACTAGAACAGATCAAGCTCGGAGCAATTTCACCTTGTCAGATCATATCCTAGTAAAATCCAATCCAGTCAAACACAAGTTCCAGATCAAGACACTCCTTTAACAACCCTATTACACAGCTACGTTAGATACTGTATCCACCCCATAGAATCATGTGATAAAGTTTCAATAAAGTTTTTGATTACATTTTCAGAATGTTAAAAAATTTACAGCATTTATGTACATTAAGGCTGGCTAATGGTCTTGTGGATCTCAATGATCCGAATTCCTCTTGACAGATGTCCAAGTGTATATACTCAAAGTATTGTACAACTGCAGCCATCTTTAGAACTTGACTTGCCTGTAGCCACTTTAACCTACAATAAAAACATTCAAAATATATATATTAATAGTTCAAGTTTTGATTATTTTCAACATTAAGCAAGGACACTGTATTCAAATAAAAAAGTTCCCTAGAAGTTATCATTGTATTTTTTTCAAGCATTTGAATAACAATGACACAGTCAAGGTTAAATGGCCACTTTCCAGCTTTACCAGTGGTCCTATTTATTTTCATAAGACCTAAAATGTCCTTCTAAGCATTTTCCATGACAAGTAGAACCACTGATATAAGCTTGCCGGATAGGCTATTAGCTGCCTCAAATGGAAAACTGAAAAGCTCCTGTTGGGATTTATATTCAGCAGATTTTTTTTTAAATTGTCAAAATTAATTTAATTACGAAAATTTTTACTCACTGCTTCTAAAAAGCATTCTTCAACACCATATTTCTTCAAGGCACTGCATTCAACATAACCTGCGGCTCCAATTTTGCTCTTCATTTTCTTCCCCTGACCTTTCTTTATAATTTCCTTGTTAGGATCATTTCCTTTCCTTGTATCTGTAAGTGATCAAGTGGATCAAATTATAGAGGATATTAAATGAGAGTGGATTCAATAATGAATTTATTAAACAACATGAATGAAAATATATTGTTTAATCTTTTGTCAAGCATAACTTTATTTTAATTAACAAGTTCAATAAATTTATTAATGACACTAAATAATTGTGATAGTTTATTCATCACATGCCCAAAATAAGAACTGTGAAAAATATTTGTTTTCATTGATGCACTCCTAGTGTAATGCTAACATTAAGTGTATCTTTTTCACTATGTCTGCATAAGGGAAACTATATGCACAACCATAGAAATACCAGTTAATACCATCACAAAAGCAGCATAGGTATGTGTTATAATAACAGTATATGGGAATAATGTTGAGAGATAATCACAAAAAAAAAATATAGGACAAAAGTTTATGTGGAATTATTGTACTTATCATTCATATTATCCTTAAAGGGACTCCCACTCAGGGTTTTTTTAACATCATAGGAAAAGAAATAATTATTCGAGATTAAAGATCCATTTGATGTAGGTCTAGACCAAAAACTGGTGTGCAAAATTTCTGATAATTAGCATACTCTGTTTTTTCCAGATTGATTATAACTGTGAAAAATGAACAAAAATTTTAAAATTTAAAACCATTGAAACAGGCTAAGAATATCACAAAATAAACTTTCAATTCATTTCTGTGTATATTTCTTAATTATCTTTCGCATATCTTTCCATTTTAAGTGTCCCAGTTAATATATGTAAATAATTCAAGGCTTTTGGACGTCAGTGGAGTTCCTTTAATGTATTGATCATCCTACCAGTTAAGAGTTACATCAGCATGCATACATTTTTTTGTATCAGTGCATTACAACAGTTTACTTATAAATATTATCACATGACTTCCCTTCCTTTCTATGTACATGTAAAATAACAATGATGTATTTCTTTATGTTACACATGTGTAAAATAAAAATAATGAAAGGGCCATAACTCTGACAAAAATCAATGAACCATAAAAGCCAATGATATGCACAACTACAACTTGGTACTGATCATTCCTGTAAAGTTTGGATGAAATTGCACAAGTAGTTTTTGAGAAGTAGTCCCGACAAGCTTTTGTGTATCTGGCACCACACAAAAAACCCACCTTTTTCATTGAAGGGCCATATCTCGGCCAAAAATCATTCAACAAAAAAAACCTGCAATATGCCCAAGGACTTGAGCTACAGATCAATCCTGTAAAGTTTTGTTGAAATTGCATAAGCAGTATATGAGGAGTAGTTCAGATAATTTTTTTAAAGGGCCATAACACTGACAAAAATAATTGAACAGGAAAATGCTGATAATATGCACAACTAGACTTGGTAATGATTATTCCTGTAAAGTTTGGATAAAAGTGCACAACTAGTACCTGTGGTTTCTGAGTCCAGACAAGTTTTGTGACGGACGGACAGACAGACAACGGAGAAGTGATCCCTATATGTCACCACTACTCTGTAGAGACAACACAATATTAAGGGTCAAAGTTTACCTTCTTTGCAGCCTACAAGTAATATTGGAACGTTTGGAGCATGTTGTTTTAGTTCTGGAATCCATTTTGTTTTTATATTCTGGAATGATGTAGGTCCTTTCACGGAGAAGCACAATAAAAATACGTCAGCACCAGTATACGATTCCGGTCTAGTGGCATCCATGTCTTCCTGAAAAATGGAACATACAATAGTAACATGTACGGCACACAAACAAGACATTCGAGGCAAGTGAAAACACTTCATAAGAGGAGCTAGCTGACCATATGAAACCATTCTAAATATGTTATCATCTTTAAATATGTACCATCTTCTGAATGATTTTATGAGCAGAATAAAATAACAGTCAACTTCATTTGAAACAATATTCATGAGACCACGAAATTTATATTTTATTAAGGGAACTGCCAAATTTATATTGTTAGATCTGGATATCAGTATATCCATGAGGAAATCAATTTTAAAATAAGAGTCCAGACCCAGCAAAAGCTTTGTTAAATAAGTGGTATATCATTATCAGCGATATATTGTTATAAGTGGAGGTTACTTATGATACAATCAAATGCGAAGAACAAGTTACATATTGACTTTGACCATACATGTATTGTACTCCAACACCAAAGAAGCTGGAGGAGATCTCCGGCTGTTCATATGCAATCATCCATGGTATTTTTAGAAGCAAGAACTCAGCAAATTTTGTTTTCCAAGTTAATTGTTATTTTTCTCAAAAGATCCCAACTGGTACATAGAATTCATCCTGTTACTCAGTCAAAACTGTAGTCACTGTTTGGGCTTAAAATTACCTTGACATATTGAACTGCAATCCAATAGACCAATACATATTTTACTTACATTACCCTCTGTATCTGTACATTTTACATGAATAGTTTCTGAACCAAGTGTTATATCTTTCTCATGTGGTACACGATTGCATTCCATAGGAGTGAACAAGCTTGGAAACTGGCCAGTAGAAAATGTTATACATAATGATGTTTTTCCAACATTATTGTCCCCAACAACAACCATATGAACATCCCCTATAAAAGAAAGAATAATTTCATGTAAAACTCAGTATAATGTGTATTTAAATATTTATGTTTGAACTGCTAGATCTGAAAGTTGTTCATTGTCTTGGCCTTTAATGAGCAACGCCAGCCTGAACATATGGTTCATTGTCTTAACCTTTAATGAGCAAAGCCAGTCTACACATATTGTTCATTGTCTTAACATTTAATGAGCAAAGCCAGTATGCACATATGGTTCATTATCTTCACCTTTAATGAGCAAAGCCAGCCTGTGTATATGGTTCATTGTCTTAAACTTTAATGAGCAAAGCCAGTCTATACATATGGTTTATTGTCTTAACCTTTAATGAGCAAAGCCAGCCTGCACATATGGTTCATTGCCTGGGCCTTTAATGAGCAAAGCCAGCCTGCACATATGGTTCATTGCCTGGGCCTTTAATGAGCAAAGCCAGCCTGCACATATGGTTCATCGTCTGGGCCTTTATTTTTAATGAGAAAAGCCAGTCTGCACATATGGTTTATTGTCTAGGCCTTTTATGCCACCATGAATGTAAAACCAAGACAGCCTGCATATATGTTCAGTCTTACCAGGCTTTGTAATGTAGGTAACTCAGTTTTTAAATTTGGTCATTGAAATTCAGTTAAAATAACTGTCTGTTACTGGTTCCATTAAATTCAAAGCAGTGTTAATTCAACAGTTCAATATACAAGACAGATTAAGCAGGCAATTGGGTTCAACTCAAAAAGCACTGTCTAGTAACAATGACAACAGCTACTGACAAGTCTATGCAGAGTGTTTCATATTCTACATTAAATATACATGTATATTGTTTAATATCTAATTCTACATTAAATATTTATTGCATGCAGTACATTTAAACTTGTTAGGCTTCCCTTACTTAATGTACTGACAAATTTTCCTCATATTGTTAGACAGTCTTACAAATAAACTCATAGAATCAACATCTTGTATGGTCTGCATCCACATCAAAATAAAACTTAAACCATCAGACAAGTGAAAGGTCAGTCTGCCACTGTTCAAAATATTGATCAAAAGTAAAATTTTCAATATAACTTGGCAGTCTTAAGGCTATCTCATACAGATTATATTAAGCATTTCATACGGAGTTTTATATTAAGTATAAGATATAAGGCACGAGAGCAAAGAAATTCCTTTGTGGTATTTAACTCTTCTTTGAGGTAAATACTTTGAGTATGACTAATAATTAATATTATATGTCATTTGATACAAAATATTTAGGGTAACAACCCTATCCGCTACATATATAATGCTTGATTGGAGGTTGTAAATTTATCCAATATACATTCAAATGCATTAGAAAATATATATTTTACCATTACTCACCCATTTTATCTGTAATGGGTACGAAAGTTTTGAGAATAAGTCGCACCCAACATTAATCGAAACCTCTCGGTTTTTTCCGTATAACATATATTCAGGTTGAACACCGTTAAATATTTTTATGCGGTTCTCAAGTACTAAATAATGTCAGAAGTCGGGAAGGAATTTAAAGAATAACATCGAGCATTGAATTAAATATGGCTTTTCTTGAGAACATATGCGAAACTGAAAGTAATTTTGTGCGCAAATCTCTTAAAAGCTTTAACATTAATTGTACAATTTATCATATACAGTACATTAACATCATTCTTATTTAGAAAGATAGAAAAAATGAGTATTTTTCAAAATGTTTTAGAAACTTGGGACTAATCAAATTAAATGTATTGCCAATTCTTTTTTTCAATTTATTGGAGGTGCAGGTTATCTTGTCCACTGTATGTTTTAAGTGAATTCCATTGAGGAATTTGTCTACAGTAATGACTTTGTGATGCAGTGAAGAAAACAATACACCTCTATGTCACTATAATTCCCTGCCATTAATGTCATTGTATTTATAGTTCCATTAGTTAGTAAGGTTGGGTATCTCTCATTCATGAAAAAAAAATCATATTGCCTTTTAAAAAAGTCATTTAAATGATATGAATAACATCTCGAGTCTATAAATTGATAGCATTTATAATTATCACTGTTGCTGCAGACTACAATCATTCTCACAAATCTCTGTGGCCAAGTGTCAAGGTCATCCTCTACCAGTAAAGTTACTAAATGACCTTGAAAATCAAACAAACATATTCTCTTGCCCATCTGCTTTGTATACTTGTATATTGCATGGTTTGCAAAGGAAATTGTTGACTATGGTTTGTAGCATGTTTTAGAAACAAACAAGGCAACCATTCATTTTTGTATTTTTGTCTACAAAATGACCATATGACCTAAAATATTATACATTACATTGACTTATAATTGATATATGTTTTGAAGAATATAAATTGATTTGTTTCATTAAATGATTATTTCACAGTCTTAACTGCTATTAATCAGTACAAGAAACTCCTAAAATAAGAGAACAGACTGGTTTTCCTCAACCAGTAAATGCTTGAAAGCCTTTTTATGACAGTATCAGTGTTCCATGAACTCAAATTTATTGTGAAGCAATGTTTCAGATACCTTCCAGTTATGGCTTTGAGTGTTATTGATGAATTTATTTGCTTAACAGTATAAGTGTGCCATAAGCTCAATGCCATGGTCAAAATCAGTTCCAGTTGTAACTTTTTGAGGCATTGATGGACAACAATTGTGAATTTAAGCCTAGCAATAATAAGTGCATAGCATGTTGAATTTGTATAATATATTTGCCCATCTTTGAATTTGGATAAGTCTCTTGGAAAATAAAAGCAAGCTGGTCTGGCTCTATACTTGTGGCTTAGACATCACTTTCAGCTACAGAATGTCCAGAGTTAAGTACTTAACTTTCATTGAAATTTTATCAAAGTTTTATACATTTCAGAGAGAGAAAGCTATGCAGCTAAACATTAGATTCCACATTTTGTGCTCTTAAAACTGGCCAACACTGGCCTGCACTTTTCTTATTTATAAGAATAAGAATCTCTATGAGAGAGACTATGAAAGGCACACCTTATTTCCTTAGTGCAATAAAACTGGCAAGGTAGAAACTCAGGTCATCCTTCAGAAAAATACCTCTTTGCAGTAACATGCCCCATTGATATTTACTGTACATTGGTCTATTTTTCCAGAACACTTCAAAATTTTATGTTCAAGCAATTTTCCTTATTCAGATGCAAACAATCTTTCAAAGCTGCATGAAAACTGTTGAGTCTTATAACTCATTATTCATCTTCTTACTTGGGCTTCTTTAAGATATCTTTGCTGCAACACTATTTTCAAGTTAATTATTTTATTAAATCTGAGTCAGCAACCAACAACCCAAACTAATACAACAGGTCAATATAATACATTGTATTTATACATCCATAGCTCCATGCTGTTAAAGTGTTCACATATTTACATCTTACATTTACATCATATATATGCTGTAAGTTATACAACAACAATAAAGCACAATATAACTGACCAATCTTTTCTCTCTCTTCTTTTAAGTGTCATAGTATGTTAACTTAAGAAATATCATTTTTACTCAAGATCTGTTTTAATTTTACTCTAGAAGTACTATTATTTTCACTCAAGAACTTTAATTACAATTTCTCTCATGAACTGTTATTATTTCCGTCAAAGATTTATTGTTATTTTACCTGAGAATTTTTATCATTTTTACTCGAAAACTCGTTATTTTTACTCAAGACCTTTTTATTCTATGGGAAGGTAGAATGTATATTCCTATTGTCTTCAATTGCAAACAATGATCATTTATGCAAGTCATGTAGTCTGGAGGTTTTTGATTTTACAACTGACGAAGATAATGCTCTCTCCAGCTGGCTCATTGCTCTGTGACGCCATGGCAGTTATTTTAAGATTTTTTCGTTGATGGTTTCAACTCATCAAAACATTTTCTCAGGAATATATGAGGCTTCATCTTCTGAGGGTCCAGGCCTTCATGACCCTGAAATAATAAAATCACCATGTCTCAATGTGAAGATTAAAGTAATAAACTATGTCAGAGTTTGTTTGTTTGCTAATTATGTTTCAGAAAAAAAACATAAATAAAGGAAATAAATTGTTAAGGGAAAATATTTGTTTATAAACGTTGTTTAACATCATTAAATAAACCTTGAACTTATCCTGTCTTGATTGTTTGTTCCATTTGCATCATTTTTCTCAGTATTTAATAAATTTCATAAATCAATTATGCATACAATGTCAACATATGTCAAACGAAAAGAACATTTATCACACAGCATAAATCTTAGAACACCTAAACTTGAAGGCATTGCACTAAATTATACTATGCTCGTTTGAATTTTCTTCTTTCCTCCTAGATATTAAAATCAAAGAAATATTACAGAGTGAAACAGCAGTGGTGTAGTATTTACCACGCTAAATATCTTAAAGAACTTGTCCATTTATCAATAATTTTTAAAGAAAATTTCAAAATATGTATTCACTGAATAGCAAACAGTGTGGACAGTACAGACCATGATTAGACAGCACTAGTCATATAGGTAGATTCAGTCATGGCCAGCTTGTTGAAGATCAGTCCTTCTACTAAGTACTCATTGTGCAATAATGCAATAAAATGCATCTCTCCCACCCAGTGAAAGCCACATATAACATTTACAGATATGGTGTGACTTAAAAAAACATTTACAGATAAGGTGTGACTTAAAACAACATTTACAGATATGGTGTGACTTAAAACAACTTTTACAGATATAGTAAGACTTAAAACCAAACCATTCACATTCATTTTTATACATCAAAATGGGAATACTGGAAATACAAGTTTTACCTTTGACCAATCATAACTGGTGGCATATGCAAAGATATTTCCTTGTGGGTTGAAGTTGCATGCAGTCAGGGGTTGATCAAATTGTTCTGAAGTTTTAAGTTTAATTCTTGCATCCTTGTCCCAGAAACTGAATCTGCCATCAGAACCCACTGTTGCCAGGGTACCGTGGACGGGGTGGAATGCTATATCATTCACCTAGAATTAAAATATATACAATAAATTTCAGAAATTAAATAATGCGTTACATCAAAACATGAAATAATGTTCAAATTTGCAGACCCAAACTTCCAACTAAGCTTTCACTCTACAACTAAGTTTGTGTAATTCAGTTACTTATCCTACTCTAAAGTTCAAATGATGTAAATTTCAGTGCTTCAAAAGTTAAAATACTTGTAAGTTGAGTAGTTAAAGTGACCTTATGCTCATGTTTTCTTTGCTTTTCTTTGTCAAGTTGAGTGAAATTACATACATACATGTATGTTTAGTTAAAAGATTGACCATTACAATGGTTACTGACTTATAACAGAGGAGACATTTATGATACTGCTATGGTTAGCAGACTGACCAGGCTCTTTACACTGAAAACTTTCAGTGTCAATCAACAAGGGGAAATCAGTCAAATTTGCTGACACTCTTCCATATACATATACAGTTTTACACTTTACTAATTTACCATTTTTTTACTTGCTATTATCTTTTACAGATATAAAAAGGCTACATAGAAATAACACACTAGCAAAAGCACAGACCCCTTTATGAAGTTTTAAAAGGTTAAAATCACTATCTATACCCAAATATTTATTCATAAAGGTACAAAAATGTAATGTTGAAGCAAAATAAATTATGAAAACCAATTTTACTTTTCCCATACCAGAAGCTTAAGCTTTACAACTATTATCTGTGAAATGACAAACAGAATCTCAAAGACTTACAGCATAAATATCTTGCATATTGTTTGATGTGGAACCATTTGCTCGATGGCATTTAAATGTGAAGTTATCTTTGGGATTTGTTGGATTAACATAATGAATCGCCACCCGGCCTTCAATACTGCCGAGGGCAAATCCTGTTGGCTGATTGGTCTTCTTGTCCATGAAAATGTTGACACATCGATGCTGAAATATCAGAAGTTAATACTTTAATTTATTTCTGTTAACAAAGAAAATTTCATCCTTCCATTTTCTTAAATTTAAATTTGTGTGGAAAAAAATCTTTAAAATATATAGCAAACACATTCACAAGTATGCATTTGAGAATCCGAAATTAAAGCAGCACGCCTCCAGATTCATGCTAATTTTCTTGAAATTTAAAAAAAATGTATTTACAAGTAAAATATTGTGAAGCAGACAAAGAAAACAATTGTACACACTGCTACCTGTATCAGGATAATTAAAATATGCAACCAATGTTTATATTTCTTTATTAGACATAATTTTTACGAGAGATTTTTAAGCTAAAACATTCCCAGATCAGCTAATTGAAAGGGAGAAATGTTACACTTTAATATGGTACCTGATATTTAAGTGGTGACTCAAATTTTCGGAATTCCTGTGGCTGATTTTCCAGCTGGTATATAATCAGTCCTCTACCAGCTGTGCCAACAACTGCCATTGGGTATTTCTATGGAAAACAATATAAAGTCATTTAAATGATGAAATGGTTCCTTAAAAGAGAGAATGGTTACTTAATCAAATGATACAAGAGCCATGTCAACATGGCCCTCCCCCGCCGAATGTGTTTGCTCATTGGAAGAATGTATATGTAGTAGAGCAGAATAATTCCATTTTAAGAGGTCTTTTGGAAATGAAAACTGATGGCTATAGTGATTACAGATTTGAAACCTATGTGAATACTGATGGCTGAAAATAACAAAGGGCAATAACTGAAAAATAATGCAGGGTAGGTTATCATTCTTGTGTGCTGCATCCCTCCTCAGTAAAATCTATCCACCTATGAAGTTTCAAGTTGATACCTCAAATACTTTTTGAGAAAAAAATTGAATTGAAAAATTAAGTATGAAAAATAACAAAGGGCAATAACTCAAAAATTATAAAAGGTAGAGTTATCATTTTTGTGCACTGCACACCTCCTGAGTTAGATCTATGCACCTATGAAGTTTCATAATGATATCTCAAAGGCCTTTTGAGTTATGCTCTGGACAAAAATTAATTTTGAAAAATAAAAAAAGGGCAATAACTAGAGGTGCAACGATACCTTTCGATGCATCGAAAACCGGTTTTATGAGCGCCGATTCAATTCCCGATACCAACTGTAACATTTTCGATTCGATTCCCCACCCACAAATAAACATGGAAAAAAGTGAGAGTTTTAGTCTTTCCCTTCGCGCTTCATCACGTTACATACGATTGGCCAGTTAAAACTCGGTCATCCAATCAGTGGGCGCGTAATGTTTTATTTTCGGCAAGCAAGTCAAAATGGCTACCAACATCAATGTTGATAAAATAAAATTAAAAAATCCTCCAAAAAATTAAAATCAAAAGTTTGGGAACACTTTGGGTTTCCGGAAGGCCAGGACACGGATAAAGCTACTTGCAAAATATGCTTTACGGACGTGTCATATCCAAAGTCCGGCAGTACGTCTAATTTAATGCAACATATGAAACGAAAACAGGATGTCATGGATGTGGACTTGTTTTGTAAGCTTTATCCTTGTCCTGGCTAGAGGTGCAACGATACCTTTCGATGCATCGAAAACCGGTTTTATGAGCGCCGATTCGATTCCCGATACCAACTGTAACATTTTCGATTCGATTCCCCACCCACAAATAAACATGGAAAAAAGTGAGAGTTTTAGTCTTTCCCTTCGCGCTTCATCACGTTACAATACGATTGGCCAGTTAAAAACTCGGTCATCCAATCAGTGGGCGCGTAATGTTTTATTTTCGGCAGCAAGTCAAAATGGCTACCAACATTCAATGTTGATAAAATAAAATTAAAAAATCCTCCAAAAAATTAAAATCAAAAGTTTGGGAACACTTTGGGTTTCCGGAAGGCCAGGACACGGATAAAGCTACTTGCAAAAATATGCTTTACGGATGTGTCATATCCAAAGTCCGGCAGTACGTCTAATTTAATGCAACATATGAAACGAAACACGATGTCATGGATGTGGACTTGTTTTGTAAGCTTTATCCGTGTCCTGGCCTTCCCGAAATAAGTTTGATTAGTACTACAGTAAGTAGGCATATTTGGGATTGATGATTATTTCTTTAGTCAAGTGTGAAAAAAGTGATAATTTCATGAATTTCATTTTTTCTGTATTGTTTACTAGACTAAGAAATTACATATTATGGGAATTATAGACAGAATATCTAAATATCAGTTCTGACAACCTTGTGAAACTTTGTTCATTATTATTTACTTTACAATTTACATATTTTGTTAAACTTCTAGTCAGTAGTCAGCAGAAGGTATCTGTGATAGTCATGTTACTGAGATTAATGATTATTTGCCTGATTAAAATTATTTTCCAAATACACAAGAGCTTTTTATTCTCATAAACACAATTATTAAGTCAAATAAGTTTATATAATAGTTATATTACAACAGAAAAGCAAAGCACTAGGTTGAAGGCCACTCACTTTTGGAACAGACAAGCAGAATTATATACCAAAGATAAATTAGTAATCAAAAATGTATCGAATCGAAAAAAATCGAATCGAAGTGTCTAAAATCGAAATCGAATCGAATGGAACATTTGGTGTATCGTTGCAGCCCTAGCAATAACTAAACAATTATGCAAGGTAGAGTTATCGTTCTTGTGCACTGCACTCTTCCTCAATGAGATCCATCCACCTATGAAGTTTCAAGTTGATACCTCAAATACTTTTTGAGATAAGCTCCAGACAAAATAGCATGAAGAAGAACAAAGGGCAATAACTAAAAAATTGTACAGGGAAGAGTTATCATTCTTTTGCACAGCATTCCTCCTCAATAAAATCTAACCAACTATGACATTTCATGTTGACATCTCAAACACTTTTGAGTTATGCTCCACTCGGGTGAAAAATTATGTATGAAAAATAACAAAGGGCAATAACTCAAAAATTATAAAAGGTAGAGTTATCATTCTTGTGCAGTGCACACCTCCTGAGTGAGATCTATGCACCTATGAAGTTTCATTTTGATATCTCAAAGGCTTTTTGAGTTATGCTCTGGACAAAAATTAATTTTGAAAAATAACAAAGGGCAATAACTAAAAAATAATGCAGGGTAGAGTTATCATTCTTAAGCACTGCACTCCTCCTCAATGAGATCCATCCACCTTTGAAGTTTCAAGTTGATACCTCAAATACTATTGAGATAAGCTCTGGACAAAATAGCATGAAAAAGAACAAAGGGCAATAACTCAAAAATTGTATAGGGAAGAGTTATCATTCTTGCGCACAACATTCCTCCTCAATAAGATATATCCACCTATGACATTTCATGTTGATATCTCAAACACTTTTTGAGTTATGCTCCACTCAGGTGAAAAATTAAGTATGAAAAATAACAAAGGGCAATAACTCAAAAATTATGAAAGGTAGAGTTATCATTCTTGTGCACTGCACACCTCCTGAGTGAGATCTATGCACCTATGAAGTTTCATGTTGATATCTCATAGGCTTTTGGAGTTATGCTCTGGACAAAAATCAATTTTGAAAAATAACAAAGGGCAATAACTCAAAAATCATGCAAGGTAGAGTTATCATTCTTGTGCACTGCACTCCTCCTCAATGAGGTCTATCCACCTATGAAGTTTCAAGTTGATAACTCAAATACTTTTAGAGATATGCTCTTGACAAAAATGTCGGACGGAAGGACGGACGGACGGAAGGTCGGACGGACACTATTTCTATATCCCCCGCCGCCTTTTCGGCGGGGGATAAAAATGGTTACTTAAATGATGACAATTTTTACAAAAACCTAATATACAAAATTGTTTTTATTAATTTGGTTGGTGTCACAGGGTGTGAAAAATGTGCAACCAGACCCGGACTTGAATCTCGGACCCTCAGAATACCAATTTGCAGTTCTTCCAACTAAGCTATCCAGCGGCTTACACATCTTCTCCCATAAATAGTGAACAGTTCTGAACCATGACAGCATGTCACAGCAATATATACACAATGTATTGACTTGGCCAAATAAATTCAATGAACTTTTAAAAAGGTTAACCAAACTATCTTCAGGACTTGTAACTGTTCATAACACAAAACTTTTTAAAGCAATATGAATCACATGAAAAACTTTTCTAAAGGGACATTACCTCTAAATCTGGTCAGACATTTTGCTACTGTTACATTTGTTTTTGATTTTATCCATAACGTTTGTATGAAAGCAAGTGTTAATTATCAGCATTACTCTAGCACTTCTGGGTCATTATATTTAAAGGCCCCTCAAGTCCAAAAGTGCTTTTATTTCATTACTTCTTCTTTTATATGTAATAGGAGACACTATTTTTGTCTTTGAAATTTGCAGAGCCATGTTGACAAAACTGTCATTTGTTATCATCATTGAGTCACACTTTTATGTTCCAAAAAATTTAGAGTTCACTCATAATTTTCCTTATTGTAATTCCTTGATACTCAGGAGGATATTCCTTGATATCTGTACTGTTACATATTTCTAAGACAGATACTATTTCACATTAAGGACCACATTCTTCATGTGATAAGCATCTAAAATTCTCTGAATCTATTATTTATATAACATAAAACATATTTTTGTCTTTTATAGAGAGGAAAAATTATAGTCATTTCTAAGAAAATAGAACCACAAACATGTCTTTTATAGAGAGGAAAAATTATACAACCAATACTGACAAGATAATTAATATTACTCAATTATTGTAAAATTTTATGTTTTCTTACCACATCAGCACAATAGCATCTTTCTGGTAAGGCAATGTTCATTATAGGAGTGGCTTGTCTGGTATCCCAGAACTGTAAAACATACACACAACTTATCAATATTCTGTTCATGTAACAATATTAACATTACAAACTTTGCAGAGCAACATTATTTCATGGGATACAAAGATTTTGATTGCTGCCGAGTAAGGCCAACATATAATCGTTTTGAATACAAGATATAGTATAACACACAGAAGTAAGGCCCCCACGATTACACGTTTAAACGGATTTGTTTCGATTTTCATTCATAAACGTTTACGATATTGTTTACCGTTTAATCGAAATGACCATACAATTTCTTAATCATTGCCTGTAATCATGGATTTTATCGATTCTAGTAGTTTATTCCAAAGTAAACAAACGGAAAATAGGTGTTTACAACCCTCCACACAGCATTACGGTGCAAAATTGCTCGTGACATAATACATTTTTGGTAAAAAAGGGGGTTACAACGCAAAGCGTGTGTGCTGACTCAATCGTGATGAGCCCTGCACATTCTTTATTTGTACACGTGTAAAAAATAGAAAGAAAGACATCATTTGGCGACTCAAATACATGGTGTGTATAGTACATAGAGGTACCACCGTTTAAACGGTATCGTTTCGGTTCTTAGCAATCGTGTAAACGTTTACAAAAAATTGTAAACGTGGGAGCCTTACACAGAAGTACCATCGTTTTCAATTATTAATAATCGCATAAATGTCTACAAAAAATTGTAAATGTATGAGCCTTACTGCTTAAAGATCTTGTTCTATAGATCTTGCTCTATAGAGGTTAAGATTTATTGCGTAAAGAATTGAAAATGTTGCTGAAAAGAAGTTTTTGCTGAACAGAAGACTATTCTGCAGTGGTCTCACTATTTGTTGAAATGCATGGCAAATTTTTTATGCATTGAGCACTTTTTATAGGAGAAATATTGTCCCTGAATTATTGCTGAATTATTACAACAATAGAGGTCATTTTCTAAATGAAGGTGATCATCCTTTTAACCCATAACCTGCAGAATTCATTAAATGGATTTGTCCAGCTTCCATTTTTGGATATGACCAGAATCAATTTTAAGGATAATAATGAAGATGAAAACTTTTATAGAGCCAGGTCAGATGGCACTGCTGAACAAAAGTGCAGACATACTTGACTCTGGTGGCAAAGGCTATCACTCAGTTCCAGTAGGTTAAAAACAACGCAAACACAATTTTTAAGCAAACAAATTGTATACAAAGTGGAGTCCTTCAAACAATCTGTTCTAATTGAACATAAGCAAAGAGCTGTGCCTGGTTTTGGAGGTATACTTAATATCACAAAATCTGTTGTTTTTTTTCTGAACAAATACAAATGTGTAGTATTAGAATGGTTGACGGATGAAAGGCAACTGTTATACCACAAACAAAATTCAAACCTTCAGAGTTTTATCCCAGCTGCCAGTCATGACACAAGTGTAGTTTGGAGCTTTCACCCAGTGTACAGTTTTCACTGGAGCATCATGCTATAATATAAAACATTGTGATTATGAAATACCTTTACATTATCACTTCACAAAAAAAGTTAGTTTATACAAATTTACTTTAGTTGGATTGTGTTGGAAGCTATAAGCTTATTGAAACACTCTTGAATCCATTCCTGGAATCAACCAGTTCTAAGCAATTTTCATTAAAGTTTCTGCTCAAGGAAACAACGACTCGACCCTGACAGGGTTTGAACCCATGCGGTCAGAGATACTTAGATTACTAGTTTGACACACGTCGCCACAAAAAAAGAGTTGAAAGCAGAATAACTAGTAAGTAGCTTAAGGCTTTATTTTCATTTTGTAATGTTAAAAATACATTAGTAACTTTAGACGGCCTTATTTTCATGACAATGAGGTAAGGTTACGAACACTTTTAAAATATTTTAGAAATTCCAAAGGATCTGATTTTGAAACAAATGATTTTCTAGCAGAGAAAATTTTATAACAAACATAGAGAAGTTATTGCACATTTTCAGCCTAAATTAAATTATTTTCTCTTCAAAAACAAAACTGTTCAACATTTCTTAATCATATATTATGGTTGTAATTGAGGTTGCACTAGCAATAACAGATTAGTCTGATTATAAATACATTTTGTCACCTTATTGCAGTTACCCCTCAAGTCCTTCTAAATTTAATAAGAGTTAACCAGTTATTGCACTAAGGTGATGATTTGTACTTACAAGCAGTAAGAGAAATGAATGAAAAACCTTGATTCTTCACTTTATACTAATACATCAAATTAAACTATACATTAAAAATAAAATCATGTAAAGCACAAATAAAACAGAGCCAAAATTGAAACAAATAGCAAATGAAGAAGATATTTACTGAAAGTTTCATTGAAATCATAATGTTCATTTTAGAGCTGATTAATTCCTACACATACCTGAGCTATTTGTACAAACTGATTACTGTTCAAATCCCACATTTTTGCTGTCTTGTCACATGATGCTGTGAATACTTTAGTTCCATCCTAAAATTAAAATAATGTAAAGAAGAATATGTTAAAAAAAATTAATATGCCATCTAGCTGCATTTGTTTGATTTCTTACATTTTTAAGACACATCAGTACAAGTCAAAAGGCTTTACTGGTGCAGAAAGACCTCAGGTGCCCCTCTGTACATTATTTCAGGCACAAGTGGGCACAAGAGTAAAACCTCTGACGATCTGTGCTTCCTCACATGGAATTATTTCAAAGTCTGAAGCAGGACTAAACCAACACTGAACAGTTATGAGGGGCAAGTGCTTCAAAGTAAAAAATCTTAACCACTTGGCCACACAGCTACCATAAAGAAATATAGCTCAAAGAAACAAGTGTGTTATAATGGATCTGAAAAAAATCATTCGAGTTGAATTTCTATTTACTCTTGCACCACTTAATGTATTTATTGGCTTTACAACACTATATAATGGAACAGTCTATTAAAAATATGTCAAGGTTATTCAGTCTCAGAAAGGTATAACTGAGCAGGCAACAGTACAAAGTGGGGTAGTATACTGCATGTTTACTCTTAGTAGATAGTTTATATCACGCATAACCACCACTAAAGTCTTGTATTCAAAAAGTTAAAATGACTTTTGCATATTTACAAATTAGGAATAATCAATTTTGTTTGTTTGTTTGTTTGTTTCATTTTACGCCTTTTCCGAACAGTATTTCAGTCATATAGGCGGGTAGTTTCCTAACCAATGTTCCTTGAGAGTTATACCAGTACTAGACTACCTTCCTCCGCACTAAACTACCAAAGCATCTCCCGGGGATCGAACCCACGCCAGAGAGGTAACTGGATTAGAAGTCATCGACTCTAACGGTTACCCCTCGACCACGGAGGCGGTTAAAATCAATTTTGTAACTCTACATATAGATCAACCAGAGTTGAACTGTCAAATGCTGTGCAATGTTAAAGCATAATCAAAGATGGTCAATGGGATAAATGAACATACTTATATAAAGGAACAACACGAGTTTCAGACAGAGGCCTCAAATGCATTAAAAATTTTAGATCTGATACTTCACAAATATTTCTACTTACATCACTCCAATCAGCATCAAGTACTGGCCCAGTATGCGTTTGTTGAGCCTTTAGCACAATAGTTCCAGATTGTTGTACCTCCCAACATCGTACCTGTAATTATTGTTGAAGAAAAAATCCTTAAAAATACAAGCAAATTTAGTACAGTGTGGCCTGATCCATATTTGATTTAATTCAGCTCATTGTAATTTGTCTTCTCATTTTGGGTACATAAATTCTTTTCCAATAAAAGTCCCATGATAACGACTGTATAAACACATTTGTGTAACAAGTTACTCAATTAAAAAATAACGCAATTTTTATTTTTGAAACTTGAATTTTGTCTAAGCCAGTGCTAGGGAACATAGATGGTAGCATTCACTATTGTCATCTGTGAACATGCTAAATTAAATTAAACCAAACTTTCAACTTAGTCATGTTGGATGATCTTCAAGGTTTATTATATCAACTTTAGATATCTTAAAATCTGATATACATACATTGTTATCCCAACTACCAGCTACAAGATACGTTGACTGCATCATAGATTCTGGACTGAACTTAAGGCAGCTGACACTATCATCTGGAGGAGAGGTTACCTGTGAAAAAATAAGTTAAGATCTATAGACATTTTATAAACTCATCTTCACATTTTGAGCTTACTTCAATTTAAAATAAATTGTCAAGAAGACTCAAGACATAAATGTATTTATCAATAATCTTAAAAAAATCTTCAAAAGAGCACATTCCAATCAAACAAGAGGAAATCTAAATATCATAAACATAGAAAGTAATGACATCTGTTGCTCTGATTTTTTGTTTGATCTGAATGAACTATAAGTGACCAATACATTTACTCCATAAACTACTGGCTAAGAATGGCCAAAGAATGTTTTCAAATTTTTCACCAGTCACAATGTAACCTCTATAAGTTACTGTCACCATCTCCACATCAATCATTTAAAAAGTAATCTGTTCATGATGGAAAACAAATTTTTATGTAAAGCTAATGGTATAATTCACTTCTTACTTCAATGTCTTTCATGGCATTATAATTTGTAGCACTCGCTGCCCCAAACATTCCCCCTGCACTACTTGTGTTCCCAAAAGTTGAGGAAGTAGACCCAAAAAGACTCATGGTTTCTCATAGAATATAGTCTAATTGTAGCTGAAAGAATTTCTGAAATTGAAATGATTCATATATAAATAATTTATAAAGTTTAACATGTCTAAGAAGCACTTCAATTCACTGAAAATAGCCATTTAGTTTTCTGAAATATAAATGCAGATACATGTATATTTTTCTCACTAATCAGCAAGGTTAGCAATGTAGTTCCGTTCTTTTGTTTGTTTTTTTTTTGCAGACAGAAGGGTAGAATCCTTGTGTTTTGATAGCAAACCTGGACAGCTGAACTCTTAGGCATTCTGCAACAGTTAAAAGAATGGGTTCAGACACTCGAGAAAATGATGAAAATTTGAGTATTCTACCTTATATTACACAAAACATTTATTTCATTACAAATGTCTTTGATTGGCAGTAAAGTGTCAATTCAGTCTTAAACCAACTCCGCACTCGTCAGCTCTGCACAGATCAACTAGGCCAATTATCAACCTAGTTATCAACATGTCAGCGGCTAGCCATACAAACCCATATTGCAAGCCAAAAGTTCTAACCGTATATGAGTTGTGTACATTTAAATAGCCTACAATGTTGAGGCTAGTCATATGGCATTTTTAAAATAAATAAACTAAAACAATAAAGAATATCATAATCAATGCAACTTTCTAAAAGATTTGATTGAATATCATAAAAGCTTTATATTATAAATTGCAGTAGGACAGTTATTTTCAGTGTTTCATGATCAGAAGTTTTTTTCTTCTTAAAATCATTGACTTTTATAAGTAGTCTGTGTGAAAATACAAAGAGAAATAAACTGAAACATTATTGGACAATATAAAATTTATATGTAATACATTTGACTTTTGTAATAAAAATTACATCTCGGACATTTTTAGTGGGCATTGAAAATTTCAAGCTAGTTTTTTGTTCATCATTAAAAGAGGCAGCACACCTGTTTTTCATGATTTCATAACAATGCTTTAGGGTCAATCACTGACATTAAAATGATTAAATGACATTTAAGTCTGTGGGTGAATTTCCAGCGGTAGTTAAATTATGAATATGACCAGGCATTTTTAATAATTAGAACTTGTAAATAATAGTTCTGCCTTCCAAAACTTTATAAGCCGCTTTTTTACATTATTGTTTTTCATGTGACACGTCATGTCATATTATATTAAGTGGTAGGCTGAAGACCTTAAGCTAGTAAATAACACAGAATTTCCATCTGCTCACAAAAACTCTTTAATTAAAGGTGAATTTGTTTCTGATAGACCTATCCGATATCTTGTCAAAATATACATGGCTGAACATCATCCCTAAAATTCTTTGTGAAAATGTTATTAAGACGTGCAATTAAGTTACTGACTTCATCATTGCATTTATTTTATTATTGAAAAAATGACTTACGGCTAGCCTCAACAGTGCGTATAGGCTAGATGTACATGACACACAAACTGCTAGAACTTTTGGCTAGCATTTCGGGCCCTATCAACATATTCTTTTTTTCGTTCATCTTTTACTTAGTGGTTTGATTACGATAAACTTTGTGCTTCGATTTCGAGACATTTCGGCCCCAAGAAGTATCGGACCCAAATTACCCAAGACGTTTCGGCCCCGGGCGTTTCAGCCCTTTACCAAATCGGCCCAATATTTAGTTAAGAATAAGTCTTACCTTATTGTGTTTTATACCAGAATTTTAATATGAAAGAATAAAAGGAATGAGAGCATTAATTGAATAATTAAATTATGATTTTTAATTGAATGATGCTAAAATAGTAGTAGTCAAAACAAACAGAACAGAACATAAACTTTATTAAACAAAACATACTACACGAACAAGAAATTTTTGGCAAATTTGAACGATTAAAAAGCAAGACACAGAACAATACAAACATTTATTATCAACAACTATTAAATTAATAGTAAGTGACGAGTTTTAGCAATACAATACAACACCAGGCCTCGACACTTACTTTTTTAGCAGGTGGTTAGCCGGACCACTAGATTTGAAATTAAGGTGGTCCTTCCAGGAGTCAGGTGGTCAATTATTATTATGTCATTTTACTGCAAAATTAGAAAAAAATATGTTTAAAATTGATGACAAAGATGTATCATTAACCTTAAGAAAACAGATATTTTAGATATATATTTTTATCTAATCAGAAATAAAGGAGAGCAAGTTAGTAGGTATTTTATCATAAAGTTATTTGTTTTTTATATGTCATTCAAAAATACACAACAGGGCTCTTATTTATGTTTACTTTTATATTGAAGTGATTTCTCTCTCAACTCAAGTTAGGGAATAGTGAAACAATTTGTGTCTGTAATTTTCTTATTCAATTTGTTATTCATAAATTCATTGCTGATATGTGGTACGACTTTAATTATGATAATTACATGTATCTTTTATAGATTATCATTTTTAATAAAACTAATAAATTATCTTAAAACAAGGAAATAGCTAGAGGATAAAAAAATAATACTAATGTTATATATAACTATAGTTTAGCTTATTTTTCTCACAGATCATGAGATGTATAATACCGAATTTTTACCTCCCTGTTGCTTGTTGGTTGATATTTATTTTTAACATGAGTATTTTTAACCTTTTAAAGTCATGTTAACTCTAGAGGAAATGGATCTCTATCGTTAAACAGTTAAAATAAAGATAAGTAGCAAAGAATTACTAGATGTATTTTTCCAGTTCCTTTTGTTGCCATTATTTAAGTATATGAAATTTTAAGTTTATCGTATATCCCATACAATATCATAATTACATCGTCGGATGCCCACGGTTAATTAACATGTAATATAACATAAATGTTACTGGTTCCACCGTAGGTATCCGACGATGCATAATTATTAGCATCATTTGAATGAATTTTGTACCTTAATTGATATCACAAAGTCTAAACTCTTTTAACTTGCATAAACCAAATTTTAGCGACTTAAAATGAAAGTTATTGACTTAAGAACTTCTTTAACTAATCAGATAATTAATGAACCATATACTTGACATCGGACAAATGATTTTAAAGAAAATGTTAATAACATGTTTTTGACCAAATCACCATTCTCCCAAATGAGTCTGCACCAACCAGAAAATTCAAGAATCAAGTGGTCCGACGGACCAGCGGCTTTTAAAATTAGGTGGTCCTTGCAAAAATCTGGTGGTCTCGGACCAACGGACCACCGTTAATGTCGAGGCCTGAACACATAACAGTTAAAAAATATAAGATAAAACAAACAATACTTTGTAAACAGACTTTTTTTTAATATGTATAAAAACAAACATTTTTTACCATAAAAGTGATAGATTTTCAATCAGAGCATATATTATCAAGAAGTATATCAAATCATAAGTTTAAAAAAATCTTTGATATTACTATCGGCTTATTAGCAATACGCTATAAATAATTAATTTGTTAAACCTCGAAAAAAAACATATCATCTAAATTAATAGAGATCAAAAGATAATGATTTTTGAAGTATATTTGTGATTAATTTTGTTAATCAAAAAGATTTTGCATTTGTCAACTGTCTTATAAATTAAAGATTTAGTGTCTTTATTTAGGTGTTTTTATTGTTACACCTTGAAAAAAATCATTTATCTAAATAGCTATTGATAGATCTATAATGGATTATCAATTTGGATTAAAATGTCACAATTGTTTGTGTGCCATCAATCAATCAATATACCACAATTTTTAACGATTTTAAGTATAAAAATTCCTTTTACACTTAAATATCAAAGCACAGAAGGCGCTGAATTTGTTTTGGTCTCAGAATGTCAGAAAGGTGAAGGTTGTGAGATTATAAACCAATTTGTTTTTGTATAGTGTCACCAGTGCTTTCCAGCGTTTTAATTGTAGTTAATTGGCTTTAAGACTAATTGCAACACTGATATTCAATTCAATGTTTATTTGACTTAAACAATTTGAAAAAAAAGAGTTGCCTTCCTGGATTTGAACTCCAGACCCCTCGGCCACGGTGAAGTTATATGTAAAAGGCCTGAAGAAAACCATATTATTCTAAATTAGGGTTTGTAACCCTTATTATTTCGACGCTAACTGTTGTTTAACACAGATGTTAATAATCATGGAGTTTATTATAAGCATGTATATCTATAAAGGACAAAACAATATTAGAAATCTTCGACCATTCGGGAATTATTTTGCTTGAAAATTAATGCGCCTGTCATTTGACCATCTTTACGCAGTGATCTCCCCTGAATATTTTCGGCGTTAGTGTACATATAAAGGGAAGTAACCGCTTCAAAAAAGCGGCCTACTTTCGGCATTTGCAATTAACTCAGGGGTTTATTTAAGCGGACGCCCGCTTGCCCGCGTCGGGTAGAAATCGCTGCTGGCAAGTGAAATTTGAAAGCAAATTGCCCGGCGGGCAAGTGAATTTTCGTTATGCCTTCTATTAGCTTTGATATCCTTTGCCGATAATACTTTTCTTTCCATTCATATTACAGTCAAACAAGTGTATTTTTAACTGTTTCTGATTGTAGTTGGACTCCTATCAACCCATCAAATTACGTAAAAAAAACTTTTTCCATTTTGCTTTCCTTTCAAAATGGCGGGTGGCGCCGAAATTTTTCCCATTTTAAAAGAAAAAAATCTACAGCAATTAAAGAAAAAGCCACGGCAAAGAAAACATCTGATTTTCTGAATAAAAAGCATAAAATCACAAAAATTCAAGATGAGTTATGTCAATAAAGACTGACACAACTGCAAGGTTCAAGAAAGAACAGAAAAATCGGGCCGTAAAAATCTACTCCTTTGAATCCTGTACGCTATTGTTTTCTTCATACAGTCAAAATTTAACTAACTGGCGTCAACTCATTTGCAATAGGCCTATAGAATTTTTTAAAAATTCGTCACCAGTAATCTTTTTTACACAAATCTTGATGAAAAATCATAATAGTCTTGAACTGTTGTTAATGTATTTTCCTTTCTCCCCTACGGCAATGTTTAAAAATATTCTTACCTATTAATAAACAAAATAAAATAATCCATAAAATGTTTAAAATCCTTTTTGGTAAATCACAGCATATTGTGTAACTATAAGTTATCTGAGGTCATTCTAGGTCATGCCTAATTAACGACCAAAACAGAAAAAACCTCCTTAGGTGAAACATACAGCAAATGACGTATATTTCGTCTGACAGTTCTTTGAACCAGTCAGTGCTCTGAACTGTATGATTACTGCATGGGGTGAGTCCCTTTGATGTGACATAGGTTAAAACTTCAAATAAATTTTAATACAAACAGGGAGGATAGGAATCAGACAGATCAATTTAAATTGAGTATAACACATCCTGTCATGGACTTGGAGCAACTTGTTGTTTTTAAAAATGACATAAATTTGAAAGGTACATTACTAGGTTGGTAATGCAAACAAATAAAAGTCAAAGCAAACATATTTTTGATATTTTACATTGTTTGAAATCAACAATAAACATTTAAAACCTAGCACAATTTTAACAATCAATGTACTGTTTCCTTTTTAATGTTGTTTTAGGGAATAAATATTTTTAAGGTGATAGCATCTGAATGTTAATATATTTTAAAAGTCATCTGGAATAGGGCCTAATTATTACCTGTAATTTTTATAAGCCTTAACAGATCATGTCGGACATGACTATTGTTAATCTTCACTTTCATTTTACTATTTTGATGTGAGGAATCCCTGACATTTAGGAGTTTTTCTAAATTAAATCTCAGGGATTTCTATTGGATCCCTGGCAAAGAAAGTTGTGTCGACCCCTAGACTATTGTGAATTAGCAAAAAAACATATACAGTAGGGAATTTAGGACTATTTTACTATCTGAGGCATAAGTTGATAGGATCTGCAATAAATCTTATTTTTACCCATAATTTTTGCTTTGATTATTAACAAACTTCACATTTAAGATCGGGCAACCTGTTTTTCCTGGGGGCAAGTAGATTTTCAAAGTTACTTGCCCTTCGGGCAAGTGAAAGTCAAAACCTTAAGTAAACCCCTGTAACTGCATCAGACTCTGAAATTTCGCTACCATTATTTGTTTGGTCTGACGACCCAAACAAATAAAAACTGTAATAAAACGTCCAGGGGCCGATTTTTGCACAGGGGCCGATTTGGTTTGGGGCCGAAACGTCCTGTTTGCAGCTTCATAATTCCCAGTTTAAATCACAGGCACTAGACACAATTAATATACCTATATACACTTATAATACAATATATAAAGTATTATAAGCGTATATAGGTATATTAATTAAGTCTAGTGCCTGTGGTTTAACTGTTTAACTTAAATAAGTCATGACTGTTGACATTTGGAGGATCCATTTTCTCAACACAGAAAGCTTTTTTATTGTGCATTAACAGGCAAATGGACACTCGTTAGGTAATGGAGACAAGACAACAGGGACAACATCATTGCCTGCTAGTCATAATCAGAATTGATTGTTAAACAGCAGTACCTTGTATGTAGATGACATGGACATGATAAATAATTTAGGCGGTGTGTTCTTATGTTTAAATGATGTGCATCTTTAATATTTATAAACAGATAACCAAACAAAAACAAAAACATAGGTAAGGAAACAATACAACTATCAGAATGTATGAGAAGGCATAAATATATCCTACTTTTTGTTTTCTTTTCTTTTCCTGCGTAAAATTTACAAAAATTAAGGTCCGAGTACACCAAATCTTCCGGGGAAAACACTAAAATGCTGACGAATACTCACGGGTCAACACCAATAAATATATTCCTTCCGTATTTTATTACAGCCTCTAAAGAACTAAAAATACATTACCATATTATCTATCTGTGAATTTATAAATTGCTATTACTCACATTTATTTTACAGTAATTTATTGTAATATATGTACCATTTGATATATGTTTGGACAAATAAATTAACATTCGCTCACTCCGTCTTACCAGAACAATCATTTTAATTGTTCAAAAATGACGCAAAATTTTACTAAAATCGCACAAGAAATATATTTTTATTTTTTTCCAGGTACCTCTTTTATTGTCATTTTCAACGTTGTAAGTGTGACTGTGTCCAAGTTGATTTATGATTTTGTTTTTTCTTCAAAATTATTTTTTTTAGGTTTAACAACATTAGTTTAGCTGCTATACTGTAAATATTCAAAACTTAAAATATGGCCAGTTTGCAATATACAAGAGCTCTTAGTAGGACAATTTTTCGGCTGCTCTCAGTTTTTGATAGTAAAACAAGAGTAGAATTTTCAAAAAGAATCATAATTCTGTCAAAATCCATGTTTGAGTTATGTGCATTGGGTAGCCAAGTCCAATTATGCTCTCATATACATGCACCTGCATGTGAAGTTTGGTTAAAATTCATCACGCATGATGGTCGATTTTAGTGTGTACGTGACAGAGCAGTCATTGGAAGAATTTTTGTATATTGATAATTTCTGTAAACTTCTCAGATAGAGAGGATGACTTCTTTCGATTTGATAAATATGTTTGTCAGAGCGAATTCTCGAGTCCGTAGCCGTACCTTGCTTTTGTATATATTGTTACCATAGTTCATGGATTAGTTGCCCAGGTCAAAGACCCGAATGTCTTCCGCAACTTAGCATTTGATTCACACACAGCTAATTTGATGCTTAAAAATGGTCAGATATGATTCCCAAATGTATATTTGAAGACCCTGCCGGAATAAACTCCACACCAAGGAAATATCCACTAATTTTATTTATATAAGTATCATTGTATGAAACAAAACAACACATTGTTAATAGATGCCGCTATTTAAGCAGAATGATGTCCATCATACCTTGGAGACGATATACGGAATCGGCTAAGTCTGGGACAGGAAATGTCGTGCTCATAACAGGGCTTCCCTTATTTAATCGTGGTATTTGCCAGTTCAAGCTGATACTCTGATGTATGTCAGTTTTCCCTGTTTATATTTAATACCTTGAAAGGGTATATAAAGCTATATCTAAGAAAAAACATTATAAAATTTATTAATAGTAAAATAACGTCGTTTCCATCTGACGGTGGATTCTCCAACGTTTTTTTTAATGAAAAATGTACAGAATAAAAAGCTACGGAACAAAATATTATGTCAGGCTATTTCAAGCTTTTTTAACCGTGTAATAATGACTTCGTGCATGTGCCTTTCGTGTTATTTAAGGGAATATACTAACACATTTCTGTCATGCATGAATTTGGAAGAATTCATTGATTGAAATGCCTTATTTGTAATGAGCATGCCCTGCTTTGAATTTAGAACAGTCCATTACTTAAAAGTTTAAGGCATTTGAATCACAATAAAAATACAAAATAAAAATGTGCAAACAACAGTACAGATCCTAGTCAGATTGCGTGGATGATCCGGTGTAATGTACATGTAATAAATTTTGACCCCATTAAAATGTCATTTTTCAATGTTGAGAACTGAACCGGGGCCATTTTTGGACGTTGAGAATAGGCCCTGCCTACTTATCAACAATAAATTTTGATCAAAAAGTCGTTGAGAAATAATCAATCGTTCAATTTTGATCAAATTAGGGTCATTTTATAACTTTTGTTAAATTTTACTTTTTTTTTACTTACATCTTTTAGTAATACAGAAATATAATGATGTACTGTATACCCTGTGATAAATATAATATCTTCCGAATTACATTGTCGCAATATGACCAAATTAAGGTTTGCTGAAGGTAATCAAAAATGTGCACTTTAACTTGTGACTAGTTTACAACTCTGCTACAAGTATGCATGAATGTAGATTAAGTATTGATATGTATGGATTAAGTATTGATATGTACCTGTGGGACATTAGTATACTTTAACTGACATGGACATTAACAGAAAGATTAGAAAATCTTTCAATTCCATTTTTTGAGACAACACCAATCTTTTTTCTTTTTTTCATGCATTGTAACATAATTGTGCAATATGATTATTTTTATGAGTTTATCATAAAATGCAAAAATATTTCAGATTTCAATTTTCTTTTTGTACTACTTGTAATGAAATTTATTTGCACCAACATACAGAGAATACAGAATTTACATTGCCTACTTATATTTATAATCTACAAAGGCAAAAGGCATTCTAACCTTTTTTTGGTCATATGGTCTAGTGCACTAGAAGTGCACACGGTGTGCACTTCTAGTTCAGCTCTAGTGCACTAGAAGTGCACAAGGGTGGGAAGTTTAGTGTGAACTAAACTGTAAGCGTGTGAAGTTTCAGCCCATTCTTTTCAATAGTTTAGAGATATCATGCAACATGTGCCAAAGTTTGACGGCGGCGGCGATGACGCCGCCCGGGCGACCTCTTCGATATTCTTAGAATAGTCGAATTTTTAGGGTAATATACAATAAAGCAGCAGTGATACTTGTTTGAAATGTTGACGGTAAAGATATAACTTAAGAAATAAAAATGGAAAACATATAACAAACATAATTCATTTTTCAATAAGAATTGAATATTTTCTTTTTATTCGTTAAAAACATATAACAGCACAAAAACAACAATAGAAATAACAGCAGCAACAAAGTAAAAAGAATAATCAACAAAAACACATAATTATACTACACATAAATACAGTGTACATGTATAATGATTGCAATCATATCCATATACAAAACGATGTCACTAAGTCTTCCAAAGTCACATTTCTGAAAAGAAAAAAATGAGGAAATATGTAAATAATTATAATTATCCGTATTATACGTTACGTAATTATTATCCTTCTTTACTTATGTACATTGTATTAGCATGTCAGTAATTTTTCCATGATAAATACAATTAATGATATGCAAATAGTTAACATTAAAAGTTATACATGTTTATAAATTTTCCTTACTTTAGATGGAAAGAGTCTTCCCAGATTTTACTTTACGGCATCTGGGCATAATAAGTTGTTTTTTTCGGCAGGAAGATGCTAGCCTTTCATTTCAATCAAATCCTTGATATTACCAAAATTAAATGTCCGCATTTTTGTAAGTCACATTTAAATACTAGTATATATCTTTCTTAAAACATTTTTTTAGAATTAAATAGCTACCTACATCTACTTAGATGTTGTAAGCAGCACGGCGTCTTGCTGCGTCATAAAGCTGTACGTCTCTACGTGCCTTCACGCTCTTTTCTCTTAAAATATCCTCGCGCATTAATTCTGCCATCAACTCTTTTTCAGCGGCAGTGTAGTGAACCTAAGAAAACAACAGCAAAATAAAGATTTCTGGGCAGGAAAATGTCGTTTAATTGATCAAAAAATAATTTATTCGATTACTATCAATAACAGCGGTCGAAATATACAATTTTTCTTCAGGAATTAATTTACTAAGGACAGCCGATGACTCGACTTTCGTCAATGGCTCGACATTTCTGAATCACTCGACTTAATTATGTCAATTGCTCGACTTATGTCAACCACTCGACTTATGTCAATGGCTTGACTTTGCAATTCACTCGACTTATGTCAATGGCTCGACTTTGTCAGTCACTCGACTTATGTCAATTGCTCGACTTATGTCAATGACATAACTTTGCAGTTCACTCGACTTATGTCAATCAGTCGACTTATGTAATTGCTCGATTTTGTCTATCACTCGACATACGTCAATGGCTCGAATTAAAGAAAAAACTTGTTTTTCGTGAGACAGACTAACTTGGTATTAGTACATGTATCTAAAGATTTAAATTATTTTTAAGTATCACATTTGTCATCAAATAGGCGTGAATCTTGGCATGGAACGGTATTAAAAGATTTTTTGTTTTCATTCTGGTCATGATGGCTCGATCATACAAGATTTATCCTTTGTAATCAGTCGTTTATTGTTTTACCGATAATGTCAAACCACTTTTTTTAGTGACCTACACATGACAATTATGCTAGTCTAGACGATTTTTTGTGGATATCGAAACCAGTGATCTTAACCGGTGTGTGTTGTCAATGAGCATAAAAATACAATGTTATTTTAAAACATAATTTAATTTGAAGTTTATCCTGTCACTTGTATCAATTTCGGCCCGATAACAAGGTGCCGTATATTTTTAGTGATCTACGGCACTTGATCACGTGGTATGCATGTTTGCCGGACTACTTTTCATGAAAAAATATAAAAACTGTCGTTAAATCTTCTGTGTGTAGAATAACGAATTTTGAAAACGTTGATAAAACTTTGTTTGTTTATTTTAATTCACTCTATAATTTTTTCTAGCGAAATAAAGAATATTAAAAGTGAAATAAATGTAAAACTTAACTCGTTCGCGACATTAAAATAGCGTACTTGATTTGATTGTTTTGCACGTGCTGTTTGGCGCTACATTGTGACGTCACGTAAACAATACTTTAAACGTCTGTACAGCGTTAACGACTGAATAAAAGATATTGGTGTTCGGATTCATTTTCTTAGTTAGACCATTTTCTTTCATTCTAGATAGTTTTGACAACAAAATTCGACAAAAAATTGTTTTTATTTATCAGATTTTTCAAACAAAATGGCGCCCTCAATGTGAAAATACACAGGGAGATAATAAGAACGGCGAGTGCATTGTTGTAGAAAAATTACGGCCTTCTTTGTTTATATAGAAACATTTCCGATAGTGTGATTACAGGTAGTTTGCCTAATAAAATTCTTTAAAAAAAACGGTGACAGGATAAATAGAATAACAGATTGGTGCCGTGGATGGAGAAAGTTTATCTGGCTCTGCTCTGGAATTTATTGGGTTCGCCTTCGGCTCACGCCTTCGGCTCACCCAATAAATTCCTCCGCCTCGCCAGATAAATTTCTCCATCCACGGCACCAACCTATTATTCTCTATATATCTACCTCCTCTTCGTTCTGGGTTGGGGTTACCGCCTCATCCAAAGCGTCTGCCAATCTTGAAGGCATCCTACTTGGGTCACCCGTGTTGAAATCAACAGTACAAGAAACACCTCCCTTTGTCATTTTTGACTCCTCGATTTCAGCTTAAGAAAGAGAAAATGAAGGGAATAAATAAGAATGATTAGTTAACATTCTTTATATGAATGATACTAAAAATTTGAAAGACGAATCAGTGCTAATAGAATAATGACGATGATGATTATGATGATGATGATGATGAATAAATCATAGAAATGCAACAAATTTTCTTTCTGTCCAAAGTAAACATGATTGAAGTTGATTGATTGGAACTGATATTAAATTATCATTATTATTAATATCATTGTTATTATTATTATTATTATTATTCTAACTTTACATATTGTTATTATTATTATTCAGAATAAGTATCTGGCTTACATTTAATTCAACATTTGTAAGGGACTGAATTACGAAGTGATTTACCCTCTTGCAGCTGTTTCACGATATCCTCCGGGTTGATCGGGTCCGGCGCCTTGCGTCCCGGTGAATTCCTTGAATTTCTCTTTCGTATTTCCGCTTCTGAGTAAGAAGGAGAAACGCTGTTCTTTTTAAGTTTACTCTTTACAAGACAACTGCCCATTTTGAGATTTTTTTTATTATTTTTATCTCACAAATCGCTTATGTGTGTCAAAACAGAAATGTTGCCGTGTATTACGTCAAAATGAACAACGTTAGGGTCAAAGAAACAACGTCAATATTACGTCATTACGTTAAACGTCATAAATAGAGGATATTGAATGAGTGTTAGTTAAATACTGAATTTATTGCACAGAGGCTCGCATAATATTATTTTATTCAACGAGTGCAATAAATTAAGTAATGAACTTACACGAATTTAATATTCTATTTATCACATACCCCAAATAAATACCGTTTAAAGTGAAATAAGAGTCATTTTTCATTGACGCGCCTATAGTATAACGCTAACATTTAGCGCGTCTTTACACTATGTTTGTATAACGCTAATGACGTCACGTCAAAATATATGCACGGCCGTGCAATACCATTTTTACGGAGTCGCAAAATCGGCACGGGTGTATGATAAATTACGTTAAACGTCATGACAAAACCAACATAATGGGTTTGCGACCAGCATGGATCCAGACCAGCCTGCGGATCCGTGCAGTCTGATCAGGATCCATGCTGTTCGCTTACAAACTCTATAACAAGTAGAGAAACCGATAGCGAATAGCATGGATCCTGATCAGACTGCGCAGAAGCCCATTATGTTGTCATGACGCGGCTCATATTAATTTGGTTTTGCTTTCCACATTATTTTGACATTGTGTTGATGTAATCTAGCCATCCGTCTAAAAAAAAGTTACTAAGAATTTCAATTCTTGCAAAAATCTGCACAGCAGGTATAGTATACGGGAGAAGAAAGGACAAAATCACAACGCGCCATGATCAGTGCGCAATGTATAAACTAGCTTACAGCAATGACGGCATCGTAAGTTCATTATCAAAACATTCTAGTCGTGTTACACGAGCAATGGCGCACTGTTAAAAGTCTGGCAGTACATACAATTTTGTTACATTTCCATCCTTAAAAGTATGTATATAAAGCTATACATCTTCTGCCTGTAGACCCTAATTTTCCTTGACTAAAGAGTGTGTAGATTCTAATTCCAAATCACCGATATGATAGAAACCTGTATGTATTTTTCCTTAAAATCGAATTACGCATGACATATAGTCATAAACCGATTTTGATATTGAAAGAATAATATTTGTTCCAAAATATTTATTCTGTTACATACAGCATCTATGTGTGTAAAATAATAGAAACATTATATATAACATCTCTTTTTTAATCAAGCATCATGTTATGAAAACATTATTTTTTTAGTCTATAAATTTCATGAAAAAATCGTAAGATACCGCATTACACATACTGCAGTATATACCTTTTAAAGGATTGTTCGGCGCTCATCCTACGTCGCCTCCTTATATACATTGTAGTTGATTTGAGCCGCGTCATGACAAAACCAACATAGTGCGTTTGCGACCAGCATGGATCCAGACCAGCCTGCGCTTCCGCGCAGTCTGATCAGGATCCATGCTGTTCGCTATCAGTTTCTCTACTTTAAATAGGGTTTATAAGCGAACAACACGGATCCTGATCAGACTGCGCGGATGCAAGGGTGGTCTGGATCCATGCTGGCCGCAAACCCATTATGTTGGTTTTGTCATGACACGGCTCATTTGGTTTCATTTTAAATAATAATGCACCAATGACTGAATGACAGGTATTATCTGAAAACTAAAATTGTCAGCTTTCAGAACAAATGCAGACCCAATCACGCCCGTTTAACTCACAACGAGTGAAAAATGTCCATCGGTTAAAATGTTGTGAGCAACTTCCGTTCCTCGTTGTGAGCATCCATCTTTGACGAGTGACACGATAAACAAGGTGTGTTTTTCATAATTTTTGATGATTACAGACATTTATGTAAAAATATCGGAATGCAGTTAGTTAGCGATGTGTTTTCCGAGTATGCACATGTAAAGATATTGCCTGTTGGTGGACAATTTGATGGAAATACCGTGCGACGCAGTCACTCGGGGTAGCTGGAAAACTGGAGACAACTTCTCTTTGGACCTAATTTAACATTGAAAACGTCGATTCTGGTGACGTTTTGTGCATTCTAATCTAAAACAGATGCCCACAAGTCTTCAGCTGAAATTATTATCTGAAAGTCTTCATAGAAACGAAGATATACCCCTTTTGCTTTAATCCTCGTTGTGAGCACCATAACCTCGTTGTGAGCAAGACGAGCGCTGTGTGTGTATGGTTTGAATATGTAATTCAGATGGTAAAAATATAATTTTCAATCTACCACAGCAATTTAAACGTTTTTGAACACAGCATTACTTTGCAAGACGTTGTGCATACCCCAAATGGAGGCATATTAGTTTTGAACTGTCCGTCTGTCAGTCCGTCAATCTGTCCGAAAACTTTAACATTGGCCATAACTTCCTTATTAGTAAACGGATTTGATTCATATTTGAACACAACATCCCTTAGCACCTTCCTACGGACCTTTATTTTCTTACCTTGACCCCTGAATGGCCTTTACCTTGAAGGTCAAATTGTCCAAAAACATTTAAGATTGGCCATAATGTCCTGGTATAATGTTTAGGCACAACACATCTTTGGACAAGGCCTTTCTACTATCCTATATTATTTTGACCTCGACCCCTGAATGACCTTCACCTTGAAGGTCAAATTGTCCAAAAACTTAAAAATTGGTCATATCTTCCTTATTAGTATACGGATTCTTCTCATATTTTGAAACAACGCCCTTTTAGGCAAGACCTTCAAACTGATCTGGTTTTTTTTTACCTTGTACCGTGAATGACCTTCTAGAACATCCAAAAACTTTAACATTGGTCATAACTTCTTTAAAAGTAAGTGGAATTAATTCATTTTTTGACACAATGCCCTTTGGACAAGACCTACCAACTGACCTATATTTATTTCACCTTGACCTTGAATTACTTTCACATTGAAGATCTAATTGTCCAAAAACAAATAATCTATCTGGTCCATAAATCAAAGGACAAAGCACCACTTCAGGGGCATTGTCAACTTACCGTGATAGTTCTTGATACATTACTTGGTCTGTCTTCAGCTCAGGATAAACACATGTATGTGTGTATCACACAGATTGTGAAATTGTTGAAATATTCATAAACACCCCGTGATGTCCACTCGTGCCACACTAGCTGTATACGAAATAAAATACCTGATTTACCTCCACTGATTAGTTCTTCTGTTAATCTGATGACTTGTGAATATGAAGAATAATTTTCAAAAAAGAAAAAGAGGAACTATTGCAAAGAAAAACTATGGTACAAAAACGTTTTGATTGCTTTTGGTAGATTGAAAATTGTATTCTTGCCATTTGAATTACATATTAAAACCAGACCAGCACTGCGCTTGTCTTGCTCACAACGAGGTTATGGTGCTCACAACGAGGATTAAAGCTAAAAAGAGTATATCTTCGTTTCTACGAAGACTTTCAGATAATAATGTACGCTGAAGACTTGTGGGCATCTGTTTTAGGTTAGAATGCACAAAACGTCACCAGAATCGACGTTTTCAATGTTAAATTAGGTCCAAAGAGAAGTTGTCTCCAGTTTTCCAGCAACCCCGAGTGACTGCGTCGCACGGTATTTCCATCAAATTGTCCACCAACAGGCAATATCTTTACATGTGCATACTCGGAAAACACATCGCTAGCTAACTGCATTCCGATATTTTTACATAAAATGTCTGTAATCTATGGAAGCCCTGGAGGGACATTTGAAATTAATATTTAAAACTTAAAACTTATTATTTAATTCTTAATATTTAAAATTTAATTCTTAATATTTAAAAATTAATTCTTAATACTTAAAAATTAAGAACAGAATACATAAGACGCGGGTATTTGAATTCAACGGTCTCTTGCAAAAGGTTGCTACACGAAGAAAAATTGGCAAATTCGATATAGCTGCTTACAGGTAATTGCCATTTTTTATATATATACAATAAACATTCCGAGAAATATTATATCTCGATTGTTATATTTTTCATGCTAACAGTTGAAACCATTAAGATATGTTAGTTTTATCATGGTGCCGCTTTACATTTTATTGACTACATGGTGTCAAAAGCAGCAGTTGAGAAAGTTTATCAATACATTTTGTTCTGGTTGAAGCTTTAAAACTGACAGAAATATACCTGCTTGTCAGGGGTTAGGTTTGTCTAACGATAATGTTTAGTTGTTGGTGGTGGATAACAATATTACATGTTTACAGCCCCAGCCCTTTGTTTTTATAACGCTATATTTCATTTATTTATATTTCTTTTAAGGTCGTAAACATGGAGATCCCGTTGCTGTTTGCCTTTATCATTTTATTGAAAGTGACTCCTGTGTCAACAGATGTGTCATCCCTATTGCCATCTGGAAACGGAAGCACCAGGTTAGAAGTGATTACGCAGTACTTTCATGATGACTTCAAGTACGCATAATTTGTTTTACCACAACATACGTCTTGGTCTCCGTCAGATACTTCGTTGTAATTATTACGTGCGTCACCGTGTCATGTATAATCCAAAAGAAGTAGGAAAAGAATCGCAGTTTAGCGGGGACGGCTTATGGTACCAAGGTGGATGAATACGTTGAAGGATTTGAGAGCTCGTGGACGAATTGATATGTCAAACGCTATTCATGCAAAATGCTTGCGATTTTATTTAGCGGATGTTCTTCAAGCGGGACTTTATCGCATTGTATTCACTGGAATTTACACAATGTGCGACCACAGAAACATGTAGACATGTGCACTTGGAAGACCAGAAATTAAATGTTGTTCAATGTACTAGAACTATCAGGTTCTACTGATTATGGTGTTAATGTTGATTTGTGGGATATTGAATATGAAACAAATCCAGATGATTGAATATTAGACAGTAATATATATACTTTTTAATGAATAAACATTGATGTTCATAGTTTTCCGAAGTATGTGCTTTTTATGTTTAACTGCTCGTTAAAATTTGTAGGCCGATCTCGAGTTCGCTTTACTTTTTGTTAGAACAGGTCATAAATCAAACGGAAAAAATAATAAAAGAACTTAAACATGAGACCTCTCTTGAAACATTCTGATTCTACATTGATGATTGCA